ATGATGTCGTCATCGTCGCGTGGACATTTATAGCAGCAGCAGCAGCAGCCACATTTCTCTCGAACGCGTGACGACGTCGGTTCGAAATTGTGGAGGGGAAAAACCGGAGGAACCCGGGAAAAAACCACGCGGCCACGGGGAGAGAAACGCAAACTCCAAATATACAGCAGCAGCAGGCGTCAGGGTCGGGATCAAACCCACGACCTCCTGCGTACCGGGCGAGGGAGTTAACATCTCCTAGCTACCGCGGTGCCCTTGTTTCTCTGTGAGAAGCTCCCCCACCACAAGCGCCACCCCCCTCCCCCCCACTCAACGCTCGTAAGATTTGGTGAATCTCGGTTCTCGCCCGGTTAATTACAAAGCACGGGAGTTGTCAGTAGAGTCGCTGTTATTGACATTCCATCGTCGGCCATTAAAATGATTCAATTCCCCCTGCACGTGGCCGACTCACTCTCGCGCACGTGCTTGTGTGTGTGGGGAGACAAAGGCGGCCGGGCGTGGTCCCAGGGGCTTCCCGATGGACCCCTCCGTGACCTTGCCCCAGTGCTTCCATTCTGGCTACACAGCCGTGTATGCAGTTCACTCACTGGCGCGTGTGCTGTTTGTACACCGCAGTTGCCGCTTTTGGTCACCAGCCGGCGCTACTACACTACACTATACACTACTATACACTACACTACTATACACTGCACTACACTATACACTACACTCCTATAACTATACTATATACTGCACTACACTATACACTATCCACTACACTCCTATAACACTACACTACTATACACTATACAATACACTGCACTATAACACTATACAATACACTCAATTACACTACACTACTATACACTATACAATACACTGCACTATAACACTATACAATACACTCAATTACACTATACTACTATACACTTTACTACTGTACCATACACTGCACTATAACACGATACTACTTTGCACTACACTATACAATACACTGCACTATAACACTATACACTATACAATACACTGCACTATAACATTATACAAAACATTGCACTATAACACTATACTACTATACACTATACAATACACTGCACTATAACACTATACTACTATACACTACAATACACTGCACTATAACACTGCTACTATACACTATACAATACACTGCACTATAACACTATACTACTATACAATACACTGCACTATAACACTATACAATACACTGCACTATAACACTATACTACTATACACTACAATACACTGCACTATAACACTATACTACTATACAATACACTGCACTATAACACTATACAATACACTGCACTATAACACTATACTACTATACAATACACTGCACTATAACACTATACTACTATACACTGCACTATAACACTATACTACTATACACTACAATACACTGCACTATAACACTATACTACTATACAATACACTGCACTATAACACTATACAATACACTGCACTATAACACTATACTACTATACACTACAATACACTGCACTATAACACTATACTACTATACACTACAATACACTGCACTATAACACTATACTACTATACAATACACTGCACTATAACACTATACTACTATACACTACAATACACTGCACTATAACACTATACTACTATACAATACACTGCACTATAACACTATACAATACACTGCACTATAACACTATACTACTATACAATACACTGCACTATAACACTATACTACTATACACTGCACTATAACACTATACTACTATACACTACACTATACAATACACTGCACTATAACACTATACTACTATACACTACACTATATACACTGCACTGGTGGAGGGTTACGACACAACATTTATATACTCACGCCATCTAACCCACAAACCTTTATTATGAATAATGTTGAGTTTTTAATATGTATTTTTACTGATGTGCTTACCTTGTATTGATGTGCTTACCTTGCCCATGCGTTGCACCGTTAGCTGGAACTTTGACCCCGCCCTGACTTGGTCAGCTGTGAAAAAGAGCTTCATAGCTCATGGGATTTCTCCAGTATAAATAACAGATTATGAGCCAAGGCATGCGTGCGTGTGGTAATGATGGCCCGAGAGTGCACCTAGCCTGGCACGCGCGCCTTGGTGACGTCACCGCCACGTGGTGGTGGTGGTGACGGATTTGCGTGGCACAGGAGGGCATGAGAGGTGATTGTGATCTGCCCACGGACTGGTGCCAGCGGTGTCAAGATCGCCCCCCTGTAACGGGCGCGGCGCGTGGCTTGGCACCACACACTTTAATTCGCACCTCTCCCGGAGCCACACCCCGTCGTCACGTGGCATAGACTCGCACCTCTGGGGGAGGAGGGGGGGAAAGGAGAGGAGGGGGAAGGGTGGGGTGATGAGGGGGGAGAAAGGAGGAGGAGGGTGGAGGAGGTTCGTGAAGGACGCTACTGGGCAATTGGGAGGCAGTCGCCCTCCAGCAACAACGAGCGGAGCGCTGGGCGGCTAAAACGCAGCGGTTTTGGCGCAGCGGGGAGGGGCACAGCTGATGGTGGTGATGCATCTGCCGGTCATCTCGAGTCAACCCATGGCACCTGCTGGGTCCGTACCGTGACCTCTTGCCAGCGAGCCTTCGACACCTCGCGTGATAGCCCCAAAGTGTACCTAGCCTGTCACAGGCGCCGTACCGATGTCACCGCCACTTAGCGGCGGATGGCGGTTGTTGTTTCGTCGTAATTCTTATTGCTACGCTTGTTTACCCAGGGGAGCCTGAAGTCTCACGATCCCAATTGAGTCATTTGGAGGTACATTTATTTGACCCAGGTAAGGCCCACCACTGAATTGCTGTGCAGCTCTGTTTCAGAAGCGGCGAACCGGCCATCACAAATGATAGCAGCTCAACGTAAGTGGCTCGTCATCGTCACGTGGAAATGTATCGCGGTCAAAATGTGGAGGGGAAAAAACGTAAGACCCGGAGATAAATCCACGCGACCACGGAGAGAGACACCGCACACTACAAATATACAGCAGCAGCAGGCGTCAGGGTCGGAATGGAACCCGCGACCTCCTGTATACCAGGCGAGGGAGTTTACATCTCACCACTGGGAGAGAGAGACACAAACTACTCCTACACGTGTAGTAGCTGTTACTACTACATAGGTAGTAGTAGTAGCTACTACCTATGTAGTAGTAGCTACGGGCCCCGCACTTTCAAGGGCCCCACGCTAAATGCTTTCAAGCTATAAATCCCGGTTCAGTGATTTTGCACTTGCTCTATTACTATAGTACTATACCGCCTTCAACTTTTACAAACGACCGGGTGTTTAAGGTTAGCGATTCGTCGTATTCTGGCCGTGTAGCAAATTAAAACATACACTTACTTTACTGTGCGAGTTACAAATTGTGTTTTAAAATGTATTTTTGTTTTTATTTAGGGTCCCTTTATACAGTGAGGGAAAAAAGTATTTGATCCCCTGCTGATTTTATACGTTTGCCCACTGACAAAGAAATGATCAGTCTATAATTTTAATGGTAGGTTTATTTGAACAGTGAGAGACAGAATAACAACAACAAAATCCAGAAAAACGCATGTCAAAAATGTTATACATTTATTTACATTTTAATGAGGGAAATAAGTATTTGACCCCTCTGCAAAACATGACTTAGTACTTGGTGGAAAAACCCTTGTTGGTAATCACAGAGGTCAGACGTTTCTTGTAGTTGGCCACCAGGTTTGCACACATCTCAGGAGGGATTTTGTCCCACTGCTCTTTGCAGATCTTCTCCAAGTCATTAAGGTTTCGAGGCTGACGTTTGGCAACTCGAACCTTCAGCTTCCTCCACAGATTTTCTATGGGATTAAGGTCTGGAGACTGGCTAGGCCACTCCAGGACCTTAATGTGCTTCTTCTTGAGCCACTCCTTTGTTGCCTTGGCCGTGTGTTTTGGGTCATTGTCATGCTGGAATACCCATCCACGACCCATTTTAAATGCCCTGGCTGAGGGAAGGAGGTTCTCACCCAAGATTTGACGGTACATGGGGCCGTCCATCGTCCCTTTGATGCGGTGAAGTTGTCCTGTCCCCTTAGCAGAAAAACACCCCCGAAGCACAATGTTTCCACCTCCATGTTTGACGGTGGGGATGGTGTTCTTGGGGTCATCGGCAGCATTCCTCCTCCTCCAAACACGGCGAGTTGAGTTGATGCCAAAGAGCTCCATTTTGGTCTCATCTGACCACAACACTTTCACCCAGTTGTCCTCGGAATCTGTCAGATGTTCATTGGAAAACTTCAGACGGACATGTATATGTGCTTTCTTGAGCAGGGGGCCCTTGCGGGCGCTGCAGGATTTCAGTCCTTCACGGCGTAGTGTGTTACCAATTGTTTTCTTGGTGACTATGGTCCCAGCTGCCTTGAGATCATTGACAAGATCCTCCCGTGTAGTTCTGGGCTGATTCCTCATCTTTCTCATGATCATTGCAACTCCACGAGGTGAGATCTTGCATGGAGCCCCAGGCCGAGAGAGATTGACAGTTCTTTTGTGTTTCTTCCATTTGCGAATAATCGCACCAACTGTTGTCACCTTCTCACCAAGCTGCTTGGCAATGGTCTTGTAGCCCATTCCAGCCTTGTGTAGGTCTACAATCTTGTCCCTGACATCCTTGGAGAGCTCTTTGGCCTTGGCCATGGTGGAGAGTTTGGAATCTGATTGATTGATTGCTTCTGTGGACAGGTGTCATTTATACAGGTAACAAGCTGAGATTAGGAGCACTCCCTTTAAGAGTGTGCTCCTAATCTCAGCTCGTTACCTGTATAAAAGACACCTGGGAGCCAGAAATCTTTCTGATTGAGAGGGGGTCAAATACTTATTTCCCTCATTAAAATGCAAATCAATTTATTTTTGACATGCGTTTTTCTGGATTTTTTTGTTATCCTGTCTCTCACTGTTCAAATAAACCTACCATTAAAATTATAGACTGATCATTTCTTTGTCAGTTGGGCAAACGTACAAAATCAGCAGGGGATCAAACACTTTTTTTCCCTCACTGTAACAACAACACGTGCTACAGGCCCCGCACTGAGCTTCATCAGGCACTGCGCGGGGTGGGGGGAGGCATGAAGGGGTCGGCGGCGGCGGCCGGCTCAGTAGGTCACCACCTCCTGAGGCACCACCTCCATCAGCAGCTGCATCTCCACGGTGAGGCGCGCTGTGACGAGAGGACAGAGGGCGCCGTGGGGAGGGACAGCGTCAACGCGTGGCAGCGCCTCCCCACTCGAAACTCCCACCCCGTGGCTCTGTCAGCTAGCAGGCGGTACTCGGCAAAGTGTGTGGACTAATCTCCATCTGTCCCACCTCACTCCCTTCCACCCCGTGGCTCTGTCAGCTAGCAGGCGGTACTCGGCAAAGTGTGTGGACTAATCTCCATCTGTCCCATCTCACTCCCTTCCACCCCGTGACTCTTGTCAGGTAGCAGGCGGTACTCACAAAGTGTGTGGACTAATCTCCATCTGTCCCATCTCACTCCCTTCCACCCCGTGGCTCTGTCAGGTAGCAGGCGGTACTCACAAAGTGTGTGGACTAATCTCCATCTGTCCCATCTCACTCCCTTCCACCCCGTGGCTCTGTCAGGTAGCAGGCGGTACTCACAAAGTGTGTGGACTAATCTCCATCTGTCCCACCTCACTCCCTTCCACCCCGTGGCTCTTGTCAGGTAGCAGGCGGTACTCACAAAGTGTGTGGACTAATCTCCATCTGTCCCATCTCACTCCCTTCCACCCCGTGACTCTTGTCAGGTAGCAGGCGGTACTCGGCAAAGTGTGTGGACTAATCTCCATCTGTCCCATCTCACTCCCTTCCACCCCGTGGCTCTGTCAGCTAGCAGGCGGTACTCACAAAGTGTGTGGACTAATCTCCATCTGTCCCACCTCACTCCCTTCCACCCCGTGGCTCTTGTCAGGTAGCAGGCGGTACTCACAAAGTGTGTGGACTAATCTCCATCTGTCCCATCTCACTCCCTTCCACCCCGTGACTCTTGTCAGGTAGCAGGCGGTACTCACAAAGTGTGTGGACTAATCTCCATCTGTCCCATCTCACTCCCTTCCACCCCGTGGCTCTGTCAGCTAGCAGGCGGTACTCACAAAGTGTGTGGACTAATCTCCATCTGTCCCACCTCACTCCCTTCCACCCCGTGACTCTTGTCAGGTAGCAGGCGGTACTCGGCAAAGTGTGTGGACTAATCTCCATCTGTCCCATCTCACTCCCTTCCACCCCGTGGCTCTGTCAGGTAGCAGGCGGTACTCACAAAGTGTGTGGACTAATCTCCATCGATATAAGAATAGGTTTTAGCCTTTCTGGAAATAAATTAGGAGCTGTGTTAAGATGTTAAAACACCAAACCGAAACCTTTTGCAAGGCATCATGTCTGCATTAACCACAGATACTTGTGGTGAACACGCAAACAAAACATTCTCTGATAGCATATGATGCATTGTCTTTCCCATGATGCAGCTGCTCCCCGCGAGCTCTCAATGTCCCGATAGTGGCATTGTCTCTGTGCTGTTCGCCTGTTGACGTCCTCTGGACTAACACCGGTTTGAGACAGGGCTCTAAAGAAAGCTGCTCTGGTGTGGACCAATCAGTTTCAGAGACAATGCCATCATCATATACCACCAGAGCATAGACACCCCTAGAGATCCAGATTAATAGAGATGCACAGAGACTCAGAGACCCCATAGAGATCCATAGACTCATCGAGACCCATGTGTGTTGAGAGCAAATCCACATTGTAAATGTTGTGGATTTGCTCTCCCACACACAACTGGTGTGCTCTACTAGTAACAAATCGGCATGTTCTGTTTACGTGACAAACTTTACTCATTTGCCGTGTCAGGTGGTGGCGGGTTTAACGACACATTTACATGTTTACGTGACCTAACCCCCCAAAAAAACCCCTCTATTATGGATGATATCGGTCGCGAAAGCCTCCTGCTGTGTGTTAAACTGAACGAACTTATACTTTTGCTTCCGATCATCATAATCATCGCCGTCACGATCATCGTCGCCGTCACGATCATCGTCGCCGTCACGATCATCGTCATCGTCACGATCATCGCACTCACGATCATCGCCGCCGTCACGATCATCGTCATCGTCACGATCATCATCGCCATCACGATCATCATCGCCGTCACGATCATCGTCGTCGTCACGATCATCATCGTCGCCGTCACGATCATCGTCGTCGTCACGATCACCGTCGTCGTCGGCGGCTCGGCCGGGGCGGTGCCCTCACCGAGGAGGCGGTCGGCCCATCTCCAGCGGCGGCGCAGGCGCCGTCCCCACGGCGAGGCGGTGAGCGCGTAGACCGGCGCGCCGGTGAGCGTGATGAGGAAGCCCACGCCGACGTTCACCGGGTCGGCGTACAGCGACGCCAGCACCATGCCCAGGCAGCAGAGGGTGAACGTCACGGGCACCAGCAGCGGTACCTACCGGCGGAGACGGAGAGGGGAAACTAAACGTACGCTACTTTGTTTTGTATTTTACCAGGCGAGGCCCACTGAGCTATGTAGCTGGTTTTCAGAAGCGGCCTGGCCACAAGTGACAGCTCAACGAAGCTTCCTGGTGTACAGGAAGGCGTGGGTTCGATCCCGACCCTGATGCCTGTTGTATATTTGTAGTCTGTGTGTGTCTCTCTCCCCGTGGTGAGATGTTAACTACCTCGCCTAGTGTACAGGAGGGCATGGGTTCGATCCCGACCCTGATGCCTGTTGTATATTTGGAGTTTGTGGTGTCTCTCTCTCCCCGTGGTGAGATGTTAACTACCTCGCCTGGTGTACAGGAGGGCGTGGGTTCGATCCCGACCCTGATGCCTGTTGTATATTTGGAGTCTGTGTGTGTCTCTCTCCCCGTGGTGAGATGTTAACTACCTCGCCTGGTGTACAGGAGGGCGTGGGTTCGATCCCGACCCTGATGCCTGTTGTATATTTGTAGTCTGTGTGTGTCTCTCTCCCCGTGGTGAGATGTTCACTACCTCGCCTGGTGTACAGGAGGGCGTGGGTTCAATTCCGACCCTGATGCCTGCTGCTGTATATTTGGAGTTTGCGTGTCTCTCTCTCCCCGTGGTCGCGTGGGAAAAAAACGGCGAACCCGTCCTCCGGAATCATCATCGCGCGTTTAGAATATTTGGCTGCTATACATATCCAAAAAGAGCTACGTAGCTCAGTCGGCCTTACCTGGTAACATACAAATAGTTAAATTTTATTCGTGTATATATTTACACTCCTATCGTGTTGTTGTACTGTTTGTTGTTGTAACGTTCTGACCGAGTGGACCCTACTGGACATCTGTGAGAAAAAAAGAGCTTTATAGCTCATCGGATTCCTCCAGTGGAGTGGCTTCTATAAAAAAGTCCACTCGATAATAAAACCACTTCGTTTGGCAGAGTGGCAAAGTGGCAGGGAAGGGTGGCAGGGCAAGGTGGCAGGACAGGGTGCCAGGCAGGGAAGGGAAGCAGGGTGGCAGGATGACGGGGAGTCGCTTGTGAAGAAGAGCTATATTGCTCAGGGGGGCCTTACACCTGGTAGAATAAAAATAGTTTACAATAGTGTTGAGTTGCTGCTGCTGCTGCTGCACCGTGCGTCTCACTCGGAAGGGCCGCTGGATGCCGGGCCTGCGGAGACGCTGGCGCACGAGCCCCAGCGTGACGAGCCCCATGAAGAACCAGCGCGGGGCGCTGCAGAAGTGCAGCAGGCTGTAGACGTCGCCCACAAACACCATGCACAGCAGCAGCGGGTACTGCCACCGCAAGGGCGGGGGCAGGGCCGCAGGGTCGGGTGGCGTGGCAGGGCGGCGGGGAAGGGTGGCAGGGTAGCAGGGTGGCGGGGAAGGGTGGCAGGGTAGCAGGGTGGCATGGCAGAGTGGCAGAGCAGGGCGGCAGGGGAGGGTGACAGAGAGCGTTAAGGCAGTCGACATCTGAATTGGCAGTTGAGTAAACCGGCTGCTGATACAGCACTCACGGGCATTAAGACAAAGACCCCCCGTGTAGCCTTAACAGACTGCTGGGGCAAGTGCCGTTAGCGAGCAGCAGCAGCAGCACCTAACGAAGAGCCGGCACTGCGGCAGACAAAGCTCCCCCGTGTAGCCTGAACGGGCTGCTGGGGCAAGTGCGAGCAGCGACTCTGGCGGGGGACCCGTCGCCGCGCCAACAGCGGCCGCCATTCACCACTCGGTGACGGGCGGTGACGTCGCAGCGGGTCTGCGCGCGTGTGTGCGCCAGGCTAGGTGCACGCTCACCAGCAGGAGCACGGCAGGCAGCGGCGTGTGCCTGCGCACGTGGATCATGCTGAAGAGCCGGGGCCAGTGGCTTTCACGCGACGCCACGAAGAACATCCTGCACTCGGACAAAGATCAGCGACAACACTGACACCATCCTGCACTCGCACAAAGATCAGCGACAACACTGACACCATCCTGCACACGGACAAAGATCAGCGACAACACTGACACCATCCTGCACTCGCACAAAGATCAGCGACAACACTGACACCATCCTGCACTCGGACAAAGATCAGTGACAACACTGACACCATCCTGCACTCGCACAAAGATCAGCGACAACACTGACACCATCCTGCACTCGGACAAAGATCAGCGACAACACTGACACCATCCTGCACTCGCACAAAGATCAGCGACAACACTGACACCATCCTGCACTCGGACAAAGATCAGTGACAACACTGACACCATCCTGCACTCGCACAAAGATCAGCGACAACACTGACACCATCCTGCACTCGGACAAAGATCAGCGACAACACTTAGACCATCCTGCACTCGCACAAAGATCAGCGACAACACTGACACCGTCCTGCACTCGGACAAAGATCAGCGACAACACTGACACCATCCTGCACTCGGACAAAGATCAGCGACAACACTTAGACCACCCTGCACTCGGACAAAGATCAGCGACAACACTTAGACCACCCTGCACTCGGACAAAGATCAGCGACAACACTTAGACCATCCTGCAATCGGACAAAGATCAGCGACAACACTTAGACCATCCTGCACTCGGACAAAGATCAGCGACAACACTTAGACCATCCTGCACACGGACAAAGATCAGCGACAACACTTAGACCACCCTGCACTCGGACAAAGATCAGCGACAACACTGACACCATCCTGCACTCGCACAAAGATCAGCGACAACACTTAGACCATCCTGCACTCGGACAAAGATCAGCGACAACACTGACACCATCCTGCACTCGGACAAAGATCAGCGACAACACTGACACCATCCTGCACTCGGACAAAGATCAGCGACAACACTTAGACCGTCCTGCACTCGCACAAAGATCAGCGACAACACTTAGACCATCCTGCACTCGCACAAAGATCAGCGACAACACTGACACCATCCTGCACTCGGACAAAGATCAGCGACAACACTTAGACCATCCTGCACTCGCACAAAGATCAGCGACAACACTGACACCGTCCTGCACTCGGACAAAGATCAGCGACAACACTGACACCATCCTGCACTCGGACAAAGATCAGCGACAACACTTAGACCACCCTGCACTCGGACAAAGATCAGCGACAACACTTAGACCACCCTGCACTCGGACAAAGATCAGCGACAACACTTAGACCATCCTGCAATCGGACAAAGATCAGCGACAACACTTAGACCATCCTGCACTCGGACAAAGATCAGCGACAACACTTAGACCATCCTGCACACGGACAAAGATCAGCGACAACACTTAGACCACCCTGCACTCGGACAAAGATCAGCGACAACACTGACACCATCCTGCACTCGCACAAAGATCAGCGACAACACTTAGACCATCCTGCACTCGGACAAAGATCAGCGACAACACTGACACCATCCTGCACTCGGACAAAGATCAGCGACAACACTGACACCATCCTGCACTCGGACAAAGATCAGCGACAACACTTAGACCGTCCTGCACTCGCACAAAGATCAGCGACAACACTTAGACCATCCTGCACTCGGACAAAGATCAGCGACAACACTGACACCATCCTGCACTCGGACAAAGATCAGCGACAACACTGACACCATCCTGCACTCGGACAAAGATCAGCGACAACACTGACACCATCCTGCACTCGGACAAAGATCAGCGACAACACTGACACCATCCTGCACTCGGACAAAGATCAGCGACAACACTGACACCATCCTGCACACGGACAAAGATCAGCGACAACACTGACACCATCCTGCACTCGGACAAAGATCAGCGACAACACTGACACCATCCTGCACACGGACAAAGATCAGCGACAACACTGACACCATCCTGCACACGGACAAAGATCAGCGACAACACTGACACCATCCTGCACACGGACAAAGATCAGCGACAACACTTAGACCATCCTGCACTCGGACAAAGATCAGCGACAACACTGACACCATCCTGCACACGGACAAAGATCAGCGACAACACTTAGACCATCCTGCACTCGGACAAAGATCAGCGACAACACTGACACCATCCTGCACTCGGACAAAGATCAGCGACAACACTGACACCATCCTGCACTCGCACAAAGATCAGCGACAACACTGACACCATCCTGCACTCGAACAAAGATCAGCGACAACACTGACACCATCCTGCACTCGGACAAAGATCAGCGACAACACTTAGACCATCCTGCACTCGGACAAAGATCAGCGACAACACTTAGACCATCCTGCACTCGAACAAAGATCAGCGACAACACTTAGACCATCCTGCACTCGGACAAAGATCAGCGACAACACTGACACCATCCTGCACACGGACAAAGATCAGCGACAACACTGACACCATCCTGCACTCGGACAAAGATCAGCGACAACACTGACACCATCCTGCACACGGACAAAGATCAGCGACAACACTGACACCATCCTGCACTCGGACAAAGATCAGCGACAACACTGACACCATCCTGCACACGGACAAAGATCAGCGACAACACTGACACCATCCTGCACTCGCACAAAGATCAGCGACAACACTGACACCATCCTGCACTCGGACAAAGATCAGCGACAACACTGACACCATCCGGCACACGGACAAAGATCAGCGACAACACTTAGACCATCCTGCACACGCACAAAGATCAGCGACAACACTGACACCATCCTGCACTCGCACAAAGATCAGCGACAACACTTAGACCATCCTGCACACGGACAAAGATCAGCGACAACACTGACACCATCCTGCACACGGGCAAAGATCAGCGACAACACTGACACCATCCTGCACTCGGACAAAGATCAGCGACAACACTGACACCATCCTGCACTCGCACAAAGATCAGCGACAACACTGACACCATCCTGCACACGGACAAAGATCAGCGACAACACTGACACCATCCTGCACACGGACAAAGATCAGCGACAACACTGACACCGTCCTGCACACGGACAAAGATCAGCGACAACACTGACACCATCCTGCACACGGACAAAGATCAGTGACAACACTGACACCATCCTGCACTCGGACAAAGATCAGTGACAACACTGACACCATCCTGCACTCGGACAAAGATCAGCGACAACACTTAGACCATCCTGCACTCGGACAAAGATCAGCGACAACACTGACACCATCCTGCACTCGGACAAAGATCAGTGACAACACTGACACCATCCTGCACACGGACAAAGATCAGCGACAACACTTAGACCATCCTGCACTCGGACAAAGATCAGCGACAACACTTAGACCATCCTGCACACGGACAAAGATCAGTGACAACACTGACACCATCCTGCACTCGGACAAAGATCAGCGACAACACTTAGACCATCCTGCACTCGGACAAAGATCAGTGACAACACTGACACCATCCTGCACACGGACAAAGATCAGCGACAACACTTAGACCATCCTGCACTCGGACAAAGATCAGCGACAACACTTAGACCATCCTGCACACGGACAAAGATCAGCGACAACACTGACACCATCCTGCACACGGACAAAGATCAGCGACAACACTGACACCGTCCTGCACACGGACAAAGATCAGCGACAACACTGACGCCATCCTGCACTCGGACAAAGATCAGCGACAACACTGACACCGTCCTGCACACGGACAAAGATCAGCGACAACACTGACGCCATCCTGCACACGGACAAAGATCAACGACAACACTTAGACCATCCTGCACACGGTCAAAGATCAGCGACAACACTGACACCGTCCTGCACTCGGACAAAGATCAGCGACAACACTTAGACCATCCTGCACTCGGACAAAGATCAGCGACAACACTGACACCATCCTGCACACGGACAAAGATCAGCGACAACACTGACACCGTCCTGCACACGGACAAAGATCAGTGACAACACTGACACCATCCTGCACACGGACAAAGATCAGCGACAACACTTAGACCATCCTGCACTCGGACAAAGATCAGCGACAACACTTAGACCATCCTGCACTCGGACAAAGATCAGCGACAACACTTAGACCATCCTGCACACGGACAAAGATCAGCGACAACACTTAGACCATCCTGCACTCGGACAAAGATCAGCGACAACACTTAGACCATCCTGCACTCGGACAAAGATCAGCGACAACACTGACACCATCCTGCACTCGGACAAAGATCAGCGACAACACTTAGACCATCCTGCACACGGACAAAGATCAGCGACAACACTTAGACCATCCTGCACTCGGACAAAGATCAGCGACAACACTTAGACCATCCTGCACTCGGACAAAGATCAGCGACAACACTTAGACCATCCTGCACACGGACAAAGATCAGCGACAACACTTAGACCATCCTGCACTCGGACAAAGATCAGCGACAACACTTAGACCATCCTGCACTCGGACAAAGATCAGCAACAACACTTAGACCATCCTGCACACGGACAAAGATCAGCGACAACACTTAGACCATCCTGCACTCGGACAAAGATCAGCGACAACACTTAGACCATCCTGCACACGGACAAAGATCAGCGACAACACTTAGACCATCCTGCACTCGGACAAAGATCAGCGACAACACTTAGACCATCCTGCACACGGACAAAGATCAGCGACAACACTGACACCATCCTGCACACGGACAAAGATCAGCGACAACACTTAGACCATCCTGCACTCGGATAAAGATCAGCGACAACACTGAGACCATCCTGCACTCGGACAAAGATCAGCGACAACACTTAGACCATCCTGCACTCGGACAAAGATCAGCGACAACACTTAGACCATCCTGCACTCGGACAAAGATCAGCGACAACACTTAGACCATCCTGCACTCGGATAAAGATCAGCGACAACACTGAGACCATCCTGCACTCGGACAAAGATCAGCGACAACACTTAGACCATCCTGCACTCGGACAAAGATCAGCGACAACACTTAGACCATCCTGCACACGGACAAAGATCAGCGACAACACTGACACCATCCTGCACACGGACAAAGATCAGCGACAACACTGACACCATCCTGCACTCGGATAAAGATCAGCGACAACACTGAGACCATCCTGCACTCGGACAAAGATCAGCGACAACACTTAGACCATCCTGCACTCGGACAAAGATCAGCGACAACACTTAGACCATCCTGCACTCGGACAAAGATCAGCGACAACACTTAGACCATCCTGCACTCGGATAAAGATCAGCGACAACACTGAGACCATCCTGTACTCGGACAAAGATCAGCGACAACACTTAGACCATCCTGCACTCGGACAAAGATCAGCGACAACACTTAGACCATCCTGCACTCGGACAAAGATCAGCGACAACACTTAGACCACACAGCCTTCAGACAGGTCGTTGTTGCAAGCGCTGCTTGCGAGTGGCAACTATAAAGGCCGGCCATGGTGCCCAGCTGGCAATGGGACCCAGCTCGCGATTGGCACCAAAACTAACGATGGAACCCCAGTGGCCATGTGATCCACCTGACGATGGGACCCACCTGGCCATGTGATCCACCTGACGATGGAACTCAGCTGGCGATGGAACCCACCTGGTGACGATGCCCACCTGGATGATGGAACCCACCTGGTGACGATGGAACCCACCTGGATGATGGAACCCACCTGGTGATGATGCTCACCTGGTGACGATGCCCACCTGGATGATGGAACCCACCTGGTGATGATGCTCACCTGGTGACGATGCCCACCTGGATGATGGAACCCACCTGGTGACGATGCCCACCTGGATGATGGAACCCACCTGGTGACGATGGAACCCACCTGGATGATGGAACCCACCTGGTGATGATGCTCACCTGGTGACGATGCCCACCTGGATGATGGAACCCACCTGGCCGAGGCGAAGAAGCCACCGAGCATGCTGCCCATGCAGCTGAGCGACACTAGGATGGGGATGATGGTGGAGAAGCTGCCCAGGGTCTTCTCTGCAAAGTTCTGGCAATGCGGAGACCCACAGACTCATCACACAGAGACCCATAGACTCATCACACAGAGACCCATAGACTCATCACACAGAGACCCACAGACTCATCACACAGAGACCCATAGACTCATCACACAGAGACCCATAGACTCATCACACAGAGACCCACAGACTAGTCACACAGAGATCCATAGACTACTCGCACAGAGACCCATAGACTCATCACACAGAGACCCACAGACTCATCACACAGAGACCCATAGACTCATCACACAGAGACCCATAGACTCATCACACAGAGACTCACAGACTCACCACACAGAGACCCATAGACTCATCACAAAGAGACCCACAGACTAGTCACACAGAGATCCATAGACTACTCACACAGAGACCCATAGACTCATCACACAGAGACCCACAGACTCATCACACAGAGACCCATAGACTACTCGCACAGAGATCCATAGACTCATCACACAGAGACCCACAGACTCATCACACAGAGACCCACAGACTCATCACACAGAGACCCATAGACTCATCACACAGAGACCCATAGACTCATCACACAGAGACCCATAGACTCATCACACAGAGACACATAGACTCATCACACAGAGACACATAGACTCATCACACAGAGACCCACAGACTCATCACACAGAGACTCATAGACTAATCACACAGAGACACATAGACTCATCACACAGAGCCTCATAGACTCATCACACAGAGACCCATAGACTCATCACACAGAGACCCATAGACTCATCACACAGAGACCCACAGACTAGTCACACAGAGATCCATAGACTACTCGCACAGAGACCCATAGACTCATCACACAGAGACTCACAGACTCACCACACAGAGACCCATAGACTCATCACACAGAGACCCACAGACTAGTCACACAGAGATCCATAGACTACTCGCACAGAGACCCATAGACTCATCACACAGAGACCCACAGAGTCATCACACAGAGACCCATAGACTACTCGCACAGAGATCCATAGACTCATCACACAGAGACCCACAGACTCATCACACAGAGACCCACAGACTCATCACACAGAGACCCATAGACTCATCACACAGAGACCCATAGACTCATCACACAGAGACCCATAGACTCATCACACAGAGACACATAGACTCATCACACAGAGACACATAGACTCATCACACAGAGACCCACAGACTCATCACACAGAGACTCATAGACTAATCACACAGAGACACATAGATTCATCACACAGAGACTCATAGACTCATCACACAGAGACCCATAGACTCATCGCACAGAGGCCCATAGACTCATCACACAGAGACCCACAGACTCATCACACAGAGACCCACAGACTAGTCACACAGAGACCCATAGACTACTCGCACAGAGGCCCATAGACTCATCACACAGAGACCCACAGACTCATCACACAGAGACCCACAGACTCATCACACAGAGACACATAGACTCATCACACAGAGACCCATAGACTCATCACACAGAGACACATAGACTCATCACACAGAGACCCATAGACTAGTCACACAGAGACAGATAGACTCATCCACACAGAGACCCACAGACTAGTCACACAGAGACCCACAGACTCATCACACAGAGACCCACAGACTCATCACACAGAGACCCATAGACTCATCACACAGAGACCCACAGACTCATCATACAGAGACACATAGACTCATCACACAGAGACCCATAGACTCATCACACAGAGACCCACAGACTCATCACACAGAGACCCACAGACTCACCACCAAACAGAGACCCACAGACTCACCACACAGAGACCCACAGACTCACCACCACACAGCGACCCACAGACTCACCACACAGAGACCCACAGACTCACCACACAGGGACCCATAGACTCACCACACAGAGACCCACAGACTCACTACACAGAGACCCACAGACTCATCACACAGAGACCCACAGACTCATCACACAGAGACCCACAGACTCACCACCACACAGACACCCACAGACTCACCACACAGAGACCCACAGACTCACCACACAGAGACCCACAGACTCATCACACAGAGACCCACAGACTCACCACACAGAGACCCACAGACTCACCACACAGAGACCCACAGACTCACCACACAGAGACCCACAGACTCACCACACAGAGACCCACAGACTCATCACACAGAGACCCATAGACTACTCGCACAGAGATCCATAGACTCATCACACAGAGACCCACAGACTCATCACACAGAGACCCACAGACTCATCACACAGAGACCCATAGACTCATCACACAGAGACCCATAGACTCATCACACAGAGACCCATAGACTCATCACACAGAGACACATAGACTCATCACACAGAGACACATAGACTCATCACACAGAGACCCACAGACTCATCACACAGAGACTCATAGACTAATCACACAGAGACACATTGACTCATCACACAGAGACTCATAGACTCATCACACAGAGACCCATAGACTCATCACACAGAGACCCATAGACTCATCACACAGAGACCCACAGACTAGTCACACAGAGATCCATAGACTACTCGCACAGAGACCCATAGACTCATCACACAGAGACTCACAGACTCACCACACAGAGACCCATAGACTCATCACACAGAGACCCACAGACTAGTCACACAGAGATCCATAGACTACTCGCACAGAGACCCATAGACTCATCACACAGAGACCCACAGACTCATCACACAGAGACCCATAGACTACTCGCACAGAGATCCATAGACTCATCACACAGAGACCCACAGACTCATCACACAGAGACCCACAGACTCATCACACAGAGACCCATAGACTCATCACACAGAGACCCATAGACTCATCACACAGAGACCCATAGACTCATCACACCGAGACACATAGACTCATCACACAGAGACACATAGACTCATCACACAGAGACCCACAGACTCATCACACAGAGACTCATAGACTAATCACACAGAGACACATAGATTCATCACACAGAGACTCATAGACTCATCACACAGAGACCCATAGACTCATCGCACAGAGGCCCATAGACTCATCACACAGAGACCCACAGACTCATCACACAGAGACCCACAGACTAGTCACACAGAGACCCATAGACTACTCGCACAGAGGCCCATAGACTCATCACACAGAGACCCACAGACTCATCACACAGAGACCCACAGACTCATCACACAGAGACACATAGACTCATCACACAGAGACCCATAGACTCATCACACAGAGACCCATAGACTCATCACACAGAGACCCATAGACTCATCACACAGAGACACATAGACTCATCACACAGAGACACATAGACTCATCACACAGAGACCCACAGACTCATCACACAGAGACTCATAGACTAATCACACAGAGACACATAGATTCATCACACAGAGACTCATAGACTCATCACACAGAGACCCATAGACTCATCGCACAGAGGCCCATAGACTCATCACACAGAGACCCACAGACTCATCACACAGAGACCCACAGACTAGTCACACAGAGACCCATAGACTACTCGCACAGAGGCCCATAGACTCATCACACAGAGACCCACAGACTCATCACACAGAGACCCACAGACTCATCACACAGAGACACATAGACTCATCACACAGAGACCCATAGACTCATCACACAGAGACACATAGACTCATCACACAGAGACCCATAGACTAGTCACACAGAGACAGATAGACTCATCCACACAGAGACCCACAGACTAGTCACACAGAGACCCACAGACTCATCACACAGAGACCCACAGACTCATCACACAGAGACCCATAGACTCATCACACAGAGACCCACAGACTCATCATACAGAGACACATAGACTCATCACACAGAGACCCATAGACTCATCACACAGAGACCCACAGACTCATCACACAGAGACCCACAGACTCACCACCAAACAGAGACCCACAGACTCACCACACAGAGACCCACAGACTCACCACCACACAGCGACCCACAGACTCACCACACAGAGACCCACAGACTCACCACACAGAGACCCATAGACTCACCACACAGAGACCCACAGACTCACTACACAGAGACCCACAGACTCATCACACAGAGACCCACAGACTCATCACACAGAGACCCACAGACTCACCACCACACAGACACCCACAGACTCACCACACAGAGACCCACAGACTCACCACACAGAGACCCACAGACTCATCACACAGAGACCCACAGACTCACCACACAGAGACCCACAGACTCACCACACAGAGACCCACAGACTCACCACACAGAGACCCACAGACTCACCACACAGAGACCCACAGACTCATCACACAGAGACCCATAGACTACTCGCACAGAGATCCATAGACTCATCACACAGAGACCCACAGACTCATCACACAGAGACCCACAGACTCATCACACAGAGACCCATAGACTCATCACACAGAGACACACAGACTCATCACACAGAGACCCATAGACTCATCACACAGAGACACATAGACTCATCACACAGAGACACATAGACTCATCACACAGAGACCCACAGACTCATCACACAGAGACCCATAGACTAATCACACAGAGACACATTGACTCATCACACAGAGACTCATAGACTCATCACACAGAGACCCATAGACTCATCACACAGAGACCCATAGACTCATCACACAGAGACCCACAGACTAGTCACACAGAGATCCATAGACTACTCGCACAGAGACCCATAGACTCATCACACAGAGACTCACAGACTCACCACACAGAGACCCATAGACTCATCACACAGAGACCCACAGACTAGTCACACAGAGATCCATAGACTACTCGCACAGAGACCCATAGACTCATCACACAGAGACCCACAGACTCATCACACAGAGACCCATAGACTACTCGCACAGAGATCCATAGACTCATCACACAGAGACCCACAGACTCATCACACAGAGACCCACAGACTCATCACACAGAGACCCATAGACTCATCACACAGAGACCCATAGACTCATCACACAGAGACCCATAGACTCATCACACCGAGACACATAGACTCATCACACAGAGACACATAGACTCATCACACAGAGACCCACAGACTCATCACACAGAGACTCATAGACTAATCACACAGAGACACATAGATTCATCACACAGAGACTCATAGACTCATCACACAGAGACCCATAGACTCATCGCACAGAGGCCCATAGACTCATCACACAGAGACCCACAGACTCATCACACAGAGACCCACAGACTAGTCACACAGAGACCCATAGACTACTCGCACAGAGGCCCATAGACTCATCACACAGAGACCCACAGACTCATCACACAGAGACCCACAGACTCATCACACAGAGACACATAGACTCATCACACAGAGACCCATAGACTCATCACACAGAGACACATAGACTCATCACACAGAGACCCACAGACTCATCACACAGAGACACATAGACTCATCACACAGAGACCCATAGACTAGTCACACAGAGACACATAGACTCATCCACACAGAGACCCACAGACTAGTCACACAGAGACCCACAGACTCATCACACAGAGACCCACAGACTCATCACACAGAGACCCATAGACTCATCACACAGAGACCCACAGACTCATCATACAGAGACACATAGACTCATCACACAGAGACCCATAGACTCATCACACAGAGACCCACAGACTCATCACACAGAGACCCACAGACTCACCACCACACAGAGACCCACAGACTCACCACACAGAGACCCACAGACTCACCACCACACAGCGACCCACAGACTCACCACACAGAGACCCACAGACTCACCACACAGGGACCCATAGACTCACCACACAGAGACCCACAGACTCACTACACAGAGACCCACAGACTCATCACACAGAGACCCACAGACTCATCACACAGAGACCCACAGACTCACCACCACACAGCGACCCACAGACTCATCACACAGAGACCCACAGACTCACCACACAGAGACCTATAGACTCATCACACAGAGACCCACAGACTCACCACACAGGGACCCATAGACTCATCACACAGAGACCCACAGACTCACCATCACACAGAGACCCACAGACTCACCACCACACAGAGACCCACAGACTCACCACACAGAGACCCACAGACTCACCACACAGAGACCCACAGACTCACCATCACACAGAGACCCATAGACTCATCACACAGAGGCCCACAGACTCACCATCACACAGAGACCCACAGACTCACCACACAGAGACCCACAGACTCACCACACAGAGACCCACAGACTCACCACACAGAGACCCACAGACTCACCACACAGAGACCCACAGACTCACCATCACACAGAGACCCACAGACTCACCACACAGAGACCCACAGACTCACCACACAGAGACCCACAGACTCACCACACAGAGACCCACAGACTCACCACACAGAGACCCACAGACTCACCACACAGAGACCCACAGACTCACCACACAGAGACCCACAGACTCACTACACAGAGACCCACAGACTCACCACAGAGAGACCCACAGACTCATCACATAGAGACCCACAGACTCACCACACAGAGACCCACAGACTCACCACACAGAGACCCACAGACTCACCACACAGACCCACAGACTCACCATCACACAGAGACCCACAGACTCACCACACAGAGACCCACAGACTCACCACACAGAGACCTACAGACTCACCACACAGAGACCTACAGACTCACCACACAGAGACCCACAGACTAAGCACACAGAGACCCACAGACTCACCACACAGAGACCCACAGACTCACCACAGAGACCCACAGACTCACCACACAGAGACCCACAGACTCCCCACACAGAGAGCCACAGACTCACCACACAGAGACCCACAGACTCACCACACAGAGACCCACAGACTCACCACACAGAGACCCACAGACTCACCACACAGAGACCCACAGACTCACCACACAGAGACCCACAGACTCGCCACACAGAGACCCACAGACTCACCACACAGAGACCCACAGACTCACCACACAGAGACCCACAGACTCACCACACAGAGACCCACAGACTCACCACACAGAGACCCACAGACTCACCACACAGAGACCCACAGACACATCACATAGAGACCCACAGACTCACCATCACATAGAGACCCACAGACTCACCACACAGAGACCCACAGACTCACCACACAGAGACCCACAGACTCACCACACAGAGACCCACAGACTCAGCACACAGAGACCCACAGACTCACCACACAGAGACCCACAGACTCACCACACAGAGACCCACAGACTCACCACACAGAGACCCACAGACTCACCACACAGAGACCCATAGACTAGTCACACAGAGACCCACAGACTCACCACACAGAGACCCACAGACTCACCACACAGAGACCCACAGAGACAGGAGGACCACTCACCATGGCAACGGCGGGCGAGGCGAGGATGGCCGGCTCACTGAGCACGGCGAGGTAGGCGACGTTCATCACCAGGTAGGAGGCCGTGACGATGGCCATCGAGATGCAGATCGCCAGAGGGAGGGTGCTGCTCGCACGCGCCGCCGGGGACAGGGGGGGGGCGGTGAATGTGAAAAAGAGCTTCATAGCTCATCGGATTCCTCCGGCACAGAGCGATCATTCTGATTCTGACCTGGGGAATCCGGCAGCTTCAAACCTGGACACCCCGCACAGCCACGCCCACTCTACTCCACACAGCCACGCCCACTCCACATAGCACCGCCCACTCCGCGCGACCCCGCTCACTCCACAGGGTCCCGCCCCACTCCACACAGCACCGCCCACTCCACATGGCCCCGCCCAATCCACAGGGTCCCGCCCCACTCCACAAAGCACCGCCCACTGCACATAGCCCCGCCCAATCCACAGGGCCCCGCCCACTCCACACAGCACCGCCCACTCCACATAGCCCCACCCAATCCACAGGGCCCCACCCCACTCCACGCGGCCCGCCCCCTCCACACAGCCCCGCCCACTCCACACGACCCCGTTATGACCCAGATTGTGTTGGAATTCCTGCAGCCCTGATTTGAAAGCCCCAACACAAGGGAGTCTTGGAGATGAGAGGCAGTGGAGGTGTGTGTGGGTGGAGCGTGCCCTGTCGTGTGTTGCGTCTGTGTTGGGCAGGTCGCTTCTCAAACATTCCTTTAGTCCTCAGCGGGCTTTGCCAGGTAGGATGGGGATGGTGTCGTGTTGTGTGTTGGGGGATTTGTTCACCTTGCGTGTACTTTGCACTGCTATCGTGTTGGCTGTAACTGTTGTTGTAACGTTCTTACCCCGTGCCCCTACTGGACATCTGTGATAAAAGAGCTTTATAGCTCATCGGATTCCTCCTGCAGTGTAAATACAGATTCTGACTGTGTTGCGCGTGTCGCGTGTGTGTTGTGTGGGGAGTGTGTGTTGTGTGTGTTGTGTGTGTTGTGTGTTGTGTGGGGAGTGTGTGTTGTGTGGGGAGTGTGTGTTGTGTGGGGAGTGTGTGTTGTGTGCGGAGTGTGTGTTGTGTGTTGTGTGGGGAGTGTGTGTTGTGTGTGTTGTGTGTGTTGTGTGGGGAGTGTGTGTTGTGTGCGGAGTGTGTGTTGTGTGGGGAGTGTGTGTTGTGTGGGGAGTGTGTGTTGTGTGTGTTGTGTGGGGAGTGTGTGTTGTGTGGGGAGTGTGTGTTGTATGTTGTGTGGGGAGTGTGTGTTGTGTGGGGAGTGTGTGTTATGTGTTGTGTGGGGAGTGTGTTGTGTGCGGAGTGTGTGTTGTGTGGGGAGTGTGTGTTGTGTGGGGAGTGTGTGTTGTGTGGGGAGTGTGTGTTGTGTGGGGAGTGTGTGTTATGTGGGGAGTGTGTGTTGTGTGCGGAGTGTGTGTTGTGTGGGGAGTGTGTGTTGTGTGGGGAGTGTGTGTTGTGTGGGGAGTGTGTGATGTGTGGGGAGTGTGTGTTGTGTGGGGAGTGTGTGTTGTGTGTTGTGTGGGGAGTGTGTGTTGTGTGTTGTGTGGAGAGTGTGTGTTATGTGTTGTGTGGGGAGTGTGTGTTGTGTGTTGTGTGGGGAGTGTGTGTTGTGTGTTGTGTGGAGAGTGTGTGTTATGTGTTGTGTGGGGAGTGTGTGTTGTGTGTTGTGTGGGGAGTGTGTGTTGTGTGGGGAGTGTGTGTTGTGTGTTGTGTGGGGAGTGTGTGTTGTGTGTTGTGTGGGGAGTGTGTGTTGTGTGGGGAGTGTGTGTTGTGTGCGGAGTGTGTGTTGTGTGTTGTGTGGGGAGTGTGTGTTGTGTGGGGAGTGTGTGTTGTGTGTTGTGTGTGTTGTGTGGGGAGTGTGTGTTGTGTGGTGTGTGTGTTGTGTGGGGAGTGTGTGTTGTGTGTTGTGTGTGTTGTGTGGGGAGTGTGTGTTGTGTGTTGTGTGGGGAGTGTGTGTTGTGTGGGGAGTGTGTGTTGTGTGTTGTGTGTGTTGTGTGGGGAGTGTGTGGTGTGTGTGTTGTGTGGGGAGTGTGTGTTGTGTGTTGTGTGTGTTGTGTGGGGAGTGTGTGTTGTGTGTTGTGTGGGGAGTGTGTGTTGTGTGTGTTGTGTGGGGAGTGTGTGTTGTGTGGGGAGTGTGTGTTGTGTGTTGTGTGGGGAGTGTGTGTTGTGTGGGGAGTGTGTGTTGTGTGGGGAGTGTGTGTTGTGTGTGTTGTGTGCGGCGTGTGTGTGTTGAGAGTCGTGCACGTCAACGTGACTCACCGCTCGGGTGACTTGACCTCCTCCGTGACGAAGTTCATGTAGAACCTGACGCAGCAACAACAACAACAACCTGACGCAACAACATAACCTGCTGTGTGGTGAGTGGGTAGTTGTCACGTGGTGAGTGGGTAGTTGTCACGTGGTGAGTGGGTAGTTGTCACGTGGTGAGTGGGTAGTTGTCACGTGGTGAGTGGGTAGTTGTCACGTGGTGTGTGGGTAGTTGCCACGTGGTGAGTGAGTAGTTGTCACGTGGTGAGTGGGTAGTTGCCACGTGGTGAGTGGGTAGTTGTCACGTGGTGTGTGGGTAGTTGCCACGTGGTGAGTGGGTAGGTGCCGTGTGGTGAGTGAGTAGTTGCCACGTGGTGTGTGGGTAGTTGTCACGTGGTGTGTGGGTAGTTGCCACGTGGTGAGTGGGTAGGTGCCGTGTGGTGAGTGGGTAGTTGCCACGTGGTGAGTGGGTAGGTGCCGTGTGGTGAGTGGGTAGTTGTCACGTGGTGAGTGAGTAGTTGTCACGTGGTGAGTGGGTAGTTGTCACGTGGTGAGTGGGTAGTTGCCGTGTGGTGAGTGGGTAGTTGCCACGTGGTGAGTGGGTAGTTGTCACGTGGTGAGTGGGTAGTTGCCGTGTGGTGAGTGGGTAGTTGCCACGTGGTGAGTGGGTAGTTGTCACGTGGTGAGTGGGTAGTTGCCGTGTGGTGAGTGGGTAGTTGTCACGTGGTGTGTGAGTAGTTGTCACGTGGTGAGTGGGTAGTTGCCACGTGGTGAGTGGGTAGTTGTCACGTGGTGAGTGAGTAGTTGTCACGTGGGGAGTGGGTAGTTGTCACGTGGTGTGTGGGTAGTTGCCGAGTGGTGAGTGGGTAGGTGCCGTGTGGTGAGTGGGTAGTTGCCGTGTGGTGAGTGGGTAGTTGCCGAGTGGTGAGTGGGTAGGTGCCGTGTGGTGAGTGGGTAGTTGCCACGTGGTGAGTGGGTAGTTGTCACGTGGTGAGTGGGTAGTTGTCACGTGGTGAGTGGGTAGTTGCCACGTGGTGAGTGGGTAGTTGCCGTGTGGTGAGTGGGTAGTTGCCGTGTGGTGTGTGGGTAGTTGTCACGTGGTGAGTGGGTAGTTGTCACGTGGTGTGTGGGTAGTTGTCACGTGGTACCAGCCGGCGTAAGCGAACATCCCTGCGTAGAGGGCGAGGGGCAGAGTCCCCACGCTGCGCTCCGGCCGCACCACAAACGCCCCCACGAAGTTCTCTGTGTGGCCTGGGGGGTGGGGGCGGGGGGGCAGGGTGGGGGGGCAAGGGTGGGGGGGGGGGCAGGGTGGGGGGGGGGACCAGGGTGGGGGGGAAGGGGGAGCATGGGAATCGCATCACGAGTTGTGGAGCACTTCTCACTGTGGAGCGGAGTGGAGTGAGATGAGAGGGGAGGAGAGTGCGTGGAGGGGGTGGAGTGAGACGAGAGGGGAGAGGCAGGAGAGTGAGTGGAGGGGAGTGGAGTGAGATGAGAGGGGAGAGGCAAGAGAGAGCGTGGAGGGGGGTGGAGTGAGATGAGAGGGGAGAGGCAGGAGAGAGCGTGGAGGGGGGTGGAGTGAGATGAGAGGGAGAGGCAGGAGAGAGCGTGGAGGGGAGTGGAGTGAGATGAGAGGGGAGAGGCAGGAGAGAGCGAGTGACTCGGGCTGCTCACCACGGGCGATGTGCACCAAGCCTGGCACCGCGATGAGGGCGATGGCGCCCAGCTTCACCACTACCAGAACGGCCTGGATGCGCGCCGTCCACGACACACTCCACGCGTTCACAAACACCACGAGAGCTGGGAGACACGGGGAGACACGGGGAGATACGGGGGGATACGGGGAGACACGGGGAGACACGGGGAGATACGGGGGGATACGGGGAGACACGGGGAGACACGGGGGGACACGGGGAGACACAGGGGGACACGGGGAGATACGGGGAGACACGGGGAGACACGGGGGGACACGGGGAGACACGAGGAGACACGGGGAGACACGGGGACATGGAGACACGGGGAGACACGGGGAGACGCGGGGAGATGCGGGAAGACACGGGGAGATACGGGGAGACACGGGGAGATACGGGGGGACACGGGGAGACACGGGGAGACACGGGGAGATACGGGGGGACACGGGGAGACACGGGGAGATACGGGGAGACACTGGGAGACACGGGGAGATACGGGGGGACACGGGGGGACACGGGGAGACACGGGGAGATACGGGGACATGGAGACACGGGAAGACACGGGGAGACACGGGGAGATACGGGGGGACACGGGGAGATACGGGGGGACACGGGGAGACACGGGGAGATACGGGGGGACACGAGGAGACACGGGGAGACACGGGGAGACACGGGGAGACACGAGGAGACACGGGGAGACACGGGGGGACACGGGGAGACACGGGGAGACACGGGGAGATACGGGGGGACACGGGGAGACACTGGGAGACACGGGGAGATACGGGGGGACACGGGGAGATACGGGGGGATGCGGGGAGACACGGGGAGACACGGGGAGACACGGGGAGATACGGGGGGACACGGGGAGATACGGGGACATGGAGACACGCGGAGATGCGGGGGGTACATGGAGGAGACACGGGGACATGGAGACACTGGAGAGCGAGGTGGAGGAGGCGGGGACTCACTGACGGCGAGTGCCGTCACGAGCTGCACCGCGAGTAGTGGCGGGGGGCACGGGGAGAAGGCCGGGGCCAGGGCGTAGCGGCCAAACGCCAGCGCCACCACGGCCGTGATGGCCGGCCTGCTCCACGACACGCACACGGGGGGGGGGGGAGAGACACGGGGGGGGGGTTGAGGGGGGGGTGGAGACACACGGGGGGTGGAGAGACACGGGGGGGGGGGGAGACACGGGGGGGGGGAGAGACACGGGGGGGGGGGGAGAGACACGGGGGGGGGAGAGACACGGGGGGGGGGAGAGAGACACGGGGGGGGGGAGAGACACGGGGGTGGAGAGACACGGGGGGGGGAGAGAGACACGGGGGGGGGGAGAGACACGGGGGGGGGAGAGACACGGGGGGGGGAGAGAGAGACACGGGGGGGGAGAGACACGGGGGGGGGAGAGAGACACGGGGGGGGGTGGAGAGACACGGGGGGGGTGGAGAGACACGGGGGGGGGTGGAGAGACACGGGGGGGGGTGGAGAGACACGGGGGGGGGGTGGAGAGACACGGGGGGGGGTGGAGAGACACGGGGGGGGGGTGGAGAGACACGGGGGGGGTGGAGAGACACGGGGGGGGGTGGAGAGACACGGGGGGGGGTGGAGAGACACGGGGGGGGGGTGGAGAGACACGGGGGGGGGTGGAGAGACACGGGGGGGGGGGAGACACGTGGGGGTGGTGGGTTGAGGGGGGGTGGTGTTTGTGAGCTCACCGCACGATAATGAACTCGGCCCAGAGGCGCAGGAAGGCGGTGGCGGGCCCCAGCGTCTCCAGCAGGTAGACGTAGTGGCCACCAGACTTGTGGTACGTGGTGCCCAGCTCGGCGTACGACAGAGCCCCTGCGGACCCCCCCCCCCCCGCCACAGAGACCCCCAATCACCCTTTGCCTTGCCCGACCTTGATGTCGCGACTTAATATCAATAACTCTCTATCGACATTTATATTAGTGACTGGCTAAACTTGTTACTCCATCTAACACACGTCCTGTGTGTGTGTCTCAGACTAAGCCGGAGGTTCTTCTTATTCGTAACTTGGGGGGGGGGGGTGCACGTCACACCCCCTGGGGGTCCACGTCACACCTCCTTGGGGGTCCACGTCACACCCCCTGTGGGTACACGTCACACCCCCTGGGGGTACACGTCACACCCCCTGGGGGTGCACGTCACATCCCATTGGGGGGTGCACGTCACACCCCCCTGGGGGTGGACGTCACACCTCCTTGGGGGTCCACGTCACACCTCCTTGGGGGTCCACGTCACATCCCAGTGGGGGTGCACGTCACACCCCCCTGGGGGTGGACGTCACACCCCCTGGGGGTGCACGTCACACCCCCCTGGGGGTGGACGTCACACCTCCTTGGGGGTCCACGTCACACCCCAGTGGGGGTGGACGTCACACCCCAGTGGGGGTCCACGTCACACCCCCCTGGGGGTGGACGTCACACCACAGTGGGGGTGGACGTCACACCTCCTTGGGGGTCCACGTCACACCCCAGTGGGGGTGGACGTCACACCCCAGTGGGGGTCCACGTCACACCCCCCTGGGGGTGCACGTCACACCCCCCTGGGGGTGGACGTCACACCACAGTGGGGGTGGACGTCACACCCCCTTGGGGTCCACGTCACACCCCCTGGGGGTGCACGTCACACCCCAGTGGGGGGTGCGAGATTCCCTTTCTCGGGGTGTGGCGAGACAGGGACTTGGTTTTAATAATCTAAAACCCAAAGTGAAGCCACGGGGCCCACATCAAGTTCCAACTTTGTCGCGTCACCCTACCCCATGCCTGTCCTGACATCGTCGCCTTGCTTGACGACTGAGAAGCAAATGGGGTGCAAGTCCACAGTGAAAGGTGAAGAACCAACTGGACTTCACTCCTCTGAGCTCTGTGTTGCTGTGCCAGACTCAAGGCGCCAAACACTGAGGCGTGTAGCTCCTTTTTAGAAGCCATCTGGCCACAAACGTCGCCATCATCGTGGTCATCGGCGATGGGAATGTCCAGCAGCAGCAGCAGCAGACAGATACTCTCAAAGGCGTCACTGACCTTGATGATAAACGTGGAGGGGAGACAGAGAGAGACACGCAGACTCCAAATATACAGCAGCAGCAGCAGGCGTGGTCAGGGTCGGGATCGAACCCACGACCTCCTGTGTACCAGGCGAGGTAGTTAACATCTCCTAGCTACCGTGATGATGATGATGATGAGAGAGACACGCAAACTCCAAATATACAGCAGCAGGCGTCAGGGTCAGGATCGAACCCACGACCTCCTGTGTACCAGGCGAGGTAGTTAACATCTCATAGCCACCTTGAGTATGATGATGAGAGAGAGAGAGAGAGACATGCAGACTCCAAACATACAGCAGCAGCAGCAGGCGTCAGGGTCGGGCTCGAACCCACGACCTCCTGTGTACCAGGCGAGGTAGTTAACATCTCCTAGCTACCGTGATGATGATGATGATGAGAGAGACACGCAAACTTCAAATATACAGCAGCAGCAGCAGGCGTAGTCAGGGTCGGGATCGAACCCACGACCTCCTGTGTACCGGGCGAGGTAGTCGACATCTCCCGGCCACCGTGACGCCGACAACGAGCGAGAGACCAATGGCGGCCACCAGGTGGCGGTCGTCGTCCTCACCGAGCAGAGAGAGCAGGCCGCAGGCGAGCCACACGGCGAGGGCCCAACCCGGCGAGCCCGAGTGGCGGAGCACGCCCGAGGGCGAGATGAAGACGCCGCTGCCGACGACGGTGCCCACGAGCACCGAGACCCCACGCCAGAGGCCGATCTTGCGGCGCAGGGCCACGGGGCCCGGGCCTGCCGCCGGGGGGGCAGACACGGGCCGCCGGCGGGAGGCGTCTGTGACGTCACAGACGCCGACGTCACCGCCGCCGCCGCCACCAATGGGCGATGACATCGCTCGTTGTTGTTGTTGTTGACGTTGTTGTTGACGTTGTTGTTGTTGTTACCAGTGTTGTTGTTGTTGACGTTGTTGTTGTTACCAGTGTTGTTGTTGTTGTTGACGTTGTTGTTGTTGTTGTTGTCGTTGTTTACGTTGTTGTTGTTGTTGACGTTGTTGTTGTTGTTGTTGCGGAGGTTGGCGGTTCGGTTTCCAGCGGCCCCGCCCCGGGGTTGACCCTGCGGGTTGAGCGACGGCAGCGGCGGCGGTGGTGGTGGTGACGACTCGTCCCTGTGCAGGTCACCACCACCACCACAGCGGTCACTCGTCACTCGCGTGCAGACAGAGGGGACGACTCGCAGAGAGGACGACTTACAGACTCACACTCACAGACTCACACTCACAGACTCACACTCAAACTCACACTCACAGACTTACACTCACAGACTCCCACTCACAGACTCACACTGAGACACACACTCACAGACTCAGACTCACACTCACAGACTCACACTGAGACTCACACTCACAGACTCACACTCACAGACTCACACTCACAGACTCACACAGACTCACACTCACAGACTCACACTCAAAGACTCACACTCACAGACTCACACTCACAGACTCACACTCACAGACTCACACTCAAACTCACAGGGCTACTCACACTCACAGACTCACACTCACAGACTCACACTCACAGACTCACACTGAGACTCAGACTCACACTCACAGACTCACACTCACAGACTCACACTCACAGACTCACACTCACAGGGCTACTCACACTCACAGACTCACACTCACAGACTCACACTCACAGACTCACACTGAGACTCACACTGAGACTCACACTCACAGACTCACACTCACAGACTCACACTCACAGACTCACACTCAAACTCAGACTCACAGACTCACACTCACAGACTCACACTCACAGACTCACACTCACAGACTCACACAGACTCACACTCACAGACTCACACTCAAAGACTCACACTCACAGACTCACACTCACAGACTCACACTGAGACTCACACTCAAAGACTCACACTCACAGACTCACACTCACAGACTCACACTGAGACTCACACTCACAGACTCACACTCACAGACTCACACTCACAGACTCACACTGAGACTCACACTGAGACTCACACTCACAGACTCACACTCACAGACTCACACAGACTCACACTCACAGACTCACACTCACAGACTCACACTCACAGACTCACACTCATAGACTCACACTCACAGACTCACACTCACAGACTCACACTCACAGACTCACACTGAGACTCACACTGAGACTCACACTCACAGACTCACACTCACAGACTCACACTCACAGACTCACACTCAAACTCACACTCACAGACTCACACTCGCAGACTCACACTCACAGACTCACACTCACAGACTCACACTCAAACTCACACTCACAGACTCACACTCACAGACTCACACTCAAACTCACACTCACAGACTCACACTCACAGACTCACACTCACAGACTCACACTCACAGACTCACACTCACAGACTCACACTCAAACTCACACTCACAGACTCACAGACTCACACTCACAGACTCACTCTGAGACTCACACTCACAGACTCACACTCACAGACTCACACTCACAGACTCACACTCAAACTCACACTCACAGACTCACACTCACAGACTCACACTCACAGACTCACACTGAGACTCACAGACTCACACTCACAGACTCACACTCACAGACTCACACTCAAACTCACACTCACAGACTCACAGACTCACACTCACAGACTCACACTCACAGACTCACACTGAGACTCACACTCACAGACTCACACTCACAGACTCACACTCACAGACTCACAGACTCACACTCAAACTCACACTCACAGACTCACAGACTCACACTCACAGACTCACACTCACAGACTCACACTGAGACTCACACTCACAGACTCACACTCACAGACTCACACTCACAGACTCACACTGAGACTCACACTCACAGACTCACACTCACAGACTCACACTCACAGACTCACAGACTCACACTCACAGACTCACACTCACAGACTCACACTGAGACTCACACTCACAGACTCACACTCACAGACTCACACTCACAGACTCACACTCAAACTCACACTCACTGGGCTACTCACACTCACAGACTCACACTCACAGACTCACACTCACAGACTCACACTGAGACTCACACTCACAGACTCAGACTCACAGACTCAGACTCACAGACTCACACTGAGACTCACACTGAGACTCACACTCACAGACTCACACTCACAGACTCACACTCACAGACTCACACTGAGACTCACACTCACAGACTCACACTCACAGACTCACACTCACAGACTCACACTGAGACTCACACTGAGACTCACACTCACAGACTCACACTCACAGACTCACACTCACAGACTCACACAGACTCACACTCACAGACTCACACTCAAAGACCCACACTCACAGACTCACACTCACAGACTCACACTCATAGACTCACACTCACAGACTCACACTCACAGACTCACACTGAGACTCACACTGAGACTCACACTCACAGACTCACACTCACAGACTCACACTCACAGACTCACACTCACAGACTCACAGACTCACACTCAAACTCACACTCACAGACTCACAGACTCACACTCACAGACTCACACTCACAGACTCACACTGAGACTCACACTCACAGACTCACACTCACAGACTCACACTCACAGACTCACACTGAGACTCACACTCACAGACTCACACTCACAGACTCACACTCACAGACTCACAGACTCACACTCACAGACTCACACTCACAGACTCACACTGAGACTCACACTCACAGACTCACACTCACAGACTCACACTCACAGACTCACACTCAAACTCACACTCACTGGGCTACTCACACTCACAGACTCACACTCACAGACTCACACTCACAGACTCACACTGAGACTCACACTCACACTCACAGACTCAGACTCACAGACTCACACTCACAGACTCACACTCACAGACTCACACTGAGACTCACACTCACAGACTCACACTCACAGACTCACACTCACAGACTCACAGACTCACACTCACAGACTCACACTCACAGACTCACACTGAGACTCACACTCACAGACTCACACTCACAGACTCACACTCACAGACTCACAGACTCACACTCAAACTCACACTCACAGACTCACAGACTCACACTCACAGACTCACACTCACAGACTCACACTGAGACTCACACTCACAGACTCACACTCACAGACTCACACTCACAGACTCACACTGAGACTCACACTCACAGACTCACACTCACAGACTCACACTCACAGACTCACAGACTCACACTCACAGACTCACACTCACAGACTCACACTCACAGACTCACACTCACAGACTCACACTCACAGACTCACACTCACAGACTCACACTCAAACTCACACTCACTGGGCTACTCACACTCACAGACTCACACTCACAGACTCACACTCACAGACTCACACTGAGACTCACACTCACAGACTCAGACTCACAGACTCAGACTCACAGACTCACACTGAGACTCACACTGAGACTCACACTCACAGACTCACACTCACAGACTCACACTCACAGACTCACACTGAGACTCACACTCACAGACTCACACTCACAGACTCACACTCACAGACTCACACTGAGACTCACACTGAGACTCACACTCACAGACTCACACTCACAGACTCACACTCACAGACTCACACAGACTCACACTCACAGACTCACACTCAAAGACCCACACTCACAGACTCACACTCACAGACTCACACTCATAGACTCACACTCACAGACTCACACTCACAGACTCACACTGAGACTCACACTGAGACTCACACTCACAGACTCACACTCACAGACTCACACTCACAGACTCACACTCACAGACTCACAGACTCACACTCAAACTCACACTCACAGACTCACAGACTCACACTCACAGACTCACACTCACAGACTCACACTGAGACTCACACTCACAGACTCACACTCACAGACTCACACTCACAGACTCACACTGAGACTCACACTCACAGACTCACACTCACAGACTCACACTCACAGACTCACAGACTCACACTCACAGACTCACACTCACAGACTCACACTGAGACTCACACTCACAGACTCACACTCACAGACTCACACTCACAGACTCACACTCAAACTCACACTCACTGGGCTACTCACACTCACAGACTCACACTCACAGACTCACACTCACAGACTCACACTGAGACTCACACTCACACTCACAGACTCAGACTCACAGACTCACACTCACAGACTCACACTCACAGACTCACACTGAGACTCACACTCACAGACTCACACTCACAGACTCACACTCACAGACTCACACTGAGACTCACACTCACAGACTCACACTCACAGACTCACACTCACAGACTCACACTGAGACTCACACTGAGACTCACACTCACAGACTCACACTCACAGACTCACACTCACAGACTCACACAGACTCACACTCACAGACTCACACTCAAAGACTCACACTCACAGACTCACACTCACAGACTCACACTCATAGACTCACACTCACAGACTCACACTCACAGACTCACACTGAGACTCACACTGAGACTCACACTCACAGACTCACACTCACAGACTCACACTCACAGACTCACACTCACAGACTCACACTCAAACTCACACTCACAGACTCACACTCGCAGACTCACACTCACAGACTCACACTCAAACTCACACTCACAGACTCACACTTACTGACTCACACTCAAACTCACACTCACAGACTCACACTCACAGACTCACACTCACAGACTCACACTCACAGACTCACACTCACAGACTCACACTGAGACACACACTCACAGACTCACACTCACAGACTCACACTCACAGACTCACACTGAGACTCACACTCACAGACTCACACTCACAGACTCACACTCACAGACTCACACTGAGACTCACACTCACAGACTCACACTCACAGACTCACACTGAGACTCACACTCACAGACTCACACTCACAGACTCACACTCACAGACTCACACTCACAGACTCACACTGAGACTCACACTCACAGACTCACACTCACAGACTCACACTCACAGACTCACACTCACAGACTCACAGGGCTACTCACACTCCGACTCGGGAACTCGGGTAGGGGGACTCACACGATGGCGGTGGTTGTGGTGGTGGTGGTTGTGGTGGTGGTGGTTGTGGTGGTTGTTGTGGTGGTTGTGGTGGTGGTGGTTGTGGTGGTTGTAGTGGTGGTGGTTGTGGTGGTGGTGGTTGTGGTGGTTGTGGTGGTGGTGGTTGTGGTGGTGGTGGTTGTGGTGGTGGTTGTGGCGTTGGTTGTGGACTCACGGCGACTCCCAGCCGTCTTTGTGCGCCTGGCTACAGAGGGAGCCGCTGCGTCTCAGGAATGTGCTGGATGAGGATTTGGGGGAGATTTATACATCTTGTGTAGACATCTTGTTGTTCTTGTGAACTTGGGGGGGGGGGGGGTTGGTGGGTGGGGGGCCTCGGGGGGACGTGGGGTGGGGGGCGGCGGGAGGACTCAACATAGACTCAACACTGCCCATAGCTTCAACACTACCCATAGACTCAACACTACCCATAGACTCAACACTGCACCTCCGATCACGTACGTAAGGTGCGAAATAAGTTCAACAAACGTGCACACTTAAGTCAACCACTACCACCACACTGCAGGGCACAATTCACACACTCACCTACTAACTAACCCACTAACTCGCCCAATCAATCAATCACACAAAGAATGCTGGGATCGCCTTAACAGACTGTTGGAGGTTAGTGCTGTTCATGAGCACCGATGAAGGCCAAAAAGGGCACACGAGGGGGTGGGTGGCCCAACGCCGCGCCCGGCCGCCTTTGTCTCCCCAGTGCTGATGTTTTACACACCGCACCAGGTGCTTCGTCTAAGGACGAGTCGACCTCGGGGAGGTAACAGGGCCGGTTCCAATATTCGCCACTGTTATAGGTCGTGAGCGGGAGTCGAACTCGGGCGGCCGGGTTCGTAGAGCATGGCGCTAACCGCTGCAGTGATTCACATCCACCCTGGCATCAAGACTGCTCGTCACAATTCACTCAGCCACCCAACCACCCAACCACTCACTCATCCACTCAACCACTCACTCACCCACTTACACCATAGGCCACAATGGACTCGCTCACTCAACCACCCAACCACTCAACCACTCACACTGCAGGCCACAATGCATTCACTCACCCATTCATGCACCCAACCACTCACCCACCCACTCAGTCATCCACCCAACCACTCACCCACCCACTCAGTCATCCACCCAACCACTTACCCACCCACTTACTCACCCACTAACACTGCAGGCCATACTTTACTCACCCACTCATCCAACACCCACTCATACTGCAGCACACAATTCACTCACCCATTCGTCCACCCAGCCACTCACTCACCCATTCACACTGCAGCCCACAATTCACTCGTCCACTCATACACCCAACCACTCACCGACTCACACTGCAGGCCACAATTCACTCACCCACTCATCCACCCAACCACTCACCCACTCACACTGCAACCCACAATTCACTCACCCACTCATCCACCCAACCACTCACTCACACTTCAGCCCACAATTCACTCACTCACCCACACATCCACCCAACCACTCACTCACCCACTCACCCACCGAACAAACCCCCCTCACCCCACCCACCCAGCAACCCTGAAAGTCCCAACACATCGTGAACATCCCTCGCCACCGCTCGACAGGAATCCCTCTTCGCTCTTAACCCTTCGTGCGGCTCTCGTTCAGTCGCTGAAGAAGCTCCCGCCTCGCACGGCGGGGAAGGGGGTGGAGGGCGAAACGTCAGCACTATCGCGCCGAACAACAACGCCACCACATAGTGCGAGCGAGCGAGCGAGTGAGCGAGGCTGCCAGCTCCGTCGAGAATGGCCACCGCCGGGGCTGCACGTGGCTTCAGAGGGAGGCTGCTGCTTGCCTCGTCTTGTTTGTTGGCGTTCATCACAAGGCCCCCAGCCTGCGCCCTCACCGCCTCCCACCGTAATCCCTCACGATCACAGAGGGTTCGTTTGTTCCCCATCGCGAGAGAAAAGTTTATTTTTTGGAATCCGAACCACGAGGGTCAGGCGCGGGGCGGCAGGGCCACCGCCTGCAGCGCTGTCCGCGGTGGATTCGTCGTCAGCCGCGGTCAATGCGCTGCTGGATGACGAAGACCCTCCCCAAATTGCCCTCCCCAAAGCCGCAAATGCTGCCGCTCAGCAAACGGATGAAGTTTTGCTCCTATGGGACCAGTGCCGGATTAATCCTAGCAGCAAAAGTAGCAGTAGTAGCTACATGTAGTAGCTACTACTGCATATATGTAGTAGCAGCTACATATGTAGTAGCTACTACTGCATATGTAGTAGCAGCTACATATATACATAAGTAGTAGTAGCTACTACTACATGTGTAGTAGCTACTACTGCATATGTAGTAGTAGCGCTAAATGCTTTCAAGTTATCAATTCCGGTTCAGTGATTCTGCACTTGCTCTATTACTATAGTATGCCACCGCCTTCCAACTTTTATGAACGACTGGGTGTTTAAGGTTAGCGATTTGTCGTATTGTCTGGCTGTATAGCAAACGAAGAAATACATTCACTTTACGATGCAAGTAAAAATGTTGTTTTAATATGTATGTATTTATAATTTAGGGCCCCTTTATAACAACATGCTTCAGGCCCCTCACTTTGCTTAATCCAGCACTGACAACCCCAGTGCGTCTTTTCTGTCTTGCGACTGCCGATGTTGGATGTAGAGCAGACGACGACAATTTCACATTCAGATGGTCACGCCCAGATAACCGCATCCGAGTGCATGAGCGCTGCCAGGTCTTTGTTTTTGCGGACCGGGGCATTGCGTCGTTTACCGTTGGACTCGCTCAGCTCTGGACGGCCACAGCCGCCACCACCACCACTGGGAGTTTTCAAATTTCCATTCGTGCATTATCAGCGATCCCCCCATCGGCTGTCGCTGCCAATGCTTTGTGTGGTTGGTGATGCGGTTTAGGGTGGGACCCATGAGCAGCCTCGGGGAAGATCAAACCCCCAGGGGATCTTCTGCCCCAAATCTTTCACTCGGTCTATGGCAGTGCGAGTCAATGGGTCGAAGAATTAGTGACCAGGCCGAGATCAACGCACCCCATGAGAAAAGCCGGTCTCAACTTAAACTCCTTGGGTCTCTGTGCGAGTCATCGATAGTCAGGCTGAGACCATCAACTCGCTTCGATCTAAGAGCAGTGAGGTAAGGGACTGGGTGTGCTGCAGTGGCGAGATGTTAATCATCTCCCTTGGTATGCGTGGGCTGGATCCCGACCCTGCCTCCGATATATATTTGTAGTTTGCATGTTTCCCCCGCCGCTATTCCTCCGGTTTTTCCCCTCCACATTTAAAAACGTGCATACAGCGGTACCTATTTGGCCATCAAGTTCCACACAATAAGCCACTTCTCATTGAGCTGTCATGTGTGGCCAGGTTGCTTCTGAAAAGAGCTATAGCTTTACCTGGTAAATAACAAGTTAATTAACAAATCAGCACTTTAGGGTTAAAGGAAGTGTGTTTGTCTACTTGTACACGCTATCACCGCCTCTATAATGCACAACTACCAATACATTCCCAGCAGTCAAGCTCGCACCGACACTGCCCTCTCGTGGCGGAAAATTAATCGGCATGCAGAAGAGCCTCTGTACTTGCTCGCTCACGCCACAGGCGACGTGAGGCGACGTAGCGCTCGCTGCTTGGGACTACCCTTCCACGATGGACATCTTTTTCCAGGGTGAGCGTGCCCTCATTACCCCACCACACTTTGACCTGCTAAACTGTCCGCAGTGCATAACCCTATACTGTGTACTGCTTTGTAATTCTGGGGGTGTGGTGAAGATTTCAAAACCGTGCCATTGTTCAACGACACTGGAGCAGTGCAGTGCCGATCGAAGCGTGCCACCAAATAACCACCACCGTCTCTCTGCTAAACAAAGTCATCGCTACAAACAGGTCGGTGGCAAACGCTCAGGATGACTCCAAGCGCAGAAACCCCGGGATGCTCACTGCAGCACTCACCCACTTCGCAGGATTGTAACAATTCTGGCAGGCGCCAAATGCATGTTGTAACTTTTATGCACCGTACGCTGTAGTTAACCGTGCTCACTGGAAGTGCAGTGTTGAGGGGCAGTGCCGAATATGGGCATATGTAGAACGGAAGTGCAGTGTTGATGAGGGGCAGTGCCGAATATGGGCAATGTGTAACTTATGTTGCATTGTCAACCGTATTGAAATTGGAGGCGAGGGAAGGTAAAAGCAGTTCTAAAATTTACATTCGTCAGCGTGGCACGTAATGTCATATTCCTGCAGATGCCCACCACTGCCGACCGGGAGTGCACAACATTGGACAGCCCCAGCAGTGTAAGAGAGCACGCACCACACGGGAGTCAGCGAGATGTACCTTTTATTCGGCACTCAACACGGCCGATCTTTGGGACAAGTCAAAGTCACAAGGAGAAGTAGCGTAGCAATGTACAAAACGGAGCAGAGAGACACGGGGATTTCCTCGGGGTGAGGCTCACAGCAACCAGAGCACTGCTGCCACCTCACAAAAGGGGGGGGGGGGCGGGCGGTGGTTTCCCCTACCAACACAAGTGCTTCTCAAATAACAATTTTATTCATCAGGTGCTAGCATGTACATTAAGAGTGGGGGGGCTTGCCGTCCAATCATTACAAAGTGATCTATTTAGGGTGCAGCTCTGAAATTTCTAGACCAGAACACGCCACTGCCGGCAGAATTAAAAGGGCTCTGGAGAATCTGTAACGAGTTATATTTCTGGCCCAACTCTCCAAGACGGACAGGTCGTTATGTCTCTTCGAGGTCTGATTGCAAGGCGTCTGGGGATCACCAGATGGATTGCTGGGGTGCGACCTGCCAGGTGGATTTAATAATCTCTCCCAGGTCCGCCGGGTCATGAATTTTGAAATCCTGTGTTAGTGTTGCGGCTGCACAGCTGGCACGACCAGGGCTCAGTCCCCTCCATTTACGAACCTCCATGGGGGATCCATCCCTCCCATCCCCCACCCCCAGGACACAACAAAACTTTCATCGCAGCCCGATTAAACCCCCGCTTCAACCTCATGGCTGCAACCCAAAAACAAGACACGTGCAGTCACGACAAACACGACACCGACAACACAGAAAACAGAAGTGTAAGAGAACGAGTGGGGGGGGGTTGGTTGGGGCGGGGTGTTGTCAACTTTCAGGCATCCTCCTGACCCTCCTCCTCCTCAAATTCTCCCTCCTCCTCGGCCGTGGCGTCCTGGTACTGCTGGTACTCGGAGACGAGGTCGTTCATGTTGCTCTCCGCCTCGGTGAACTCCATCTCGTCCATGCCCTCGCCCGTGTACCAGTGCAGGAAGGCCTTGCGGCGGAACATGGCCGTGAACTGCTCGGAGATTCGCTTGAAGAGCTCCTGCACACGCGGTGGTGGGGGGTTAAGGAGAGACGAAATGCAGTCAGCAGACGAAAACGCCTTGAGATACCAGCATAAATCGCAGCTCAGTCCACGAGTCTGTGGGAGTCACTGGCAAATGGGCCGAAACTAAAGCACTACACACTTGGGAACCTAGTTCAGAGGGGTGGCCAACCTGTAAGACCAAGTTGTACATAGGCACACGACTTTGAAAGCATGGCTTTACGTGATGCCCCTTTGATAAGAGACACGAGCGGGGGATTAAGGAGCCCACCGCACGCGGCTCAGGAGTCGGCCATCGCTGACCATTTAAATTACAGGCGGGCGACCAAAACCCAGGATTTCAAAAGATTCCGTCACAGCCGTCAAATACCGCAGGCCACCAACGCCACAACGCACCTGGATGGCCGTGCTGTTGCCGATGAAGGTGGCCGACATCTTGAGGCCTCGGGGCGGGATGTCGCACACGGCCGTCTTCACGTTGTTGGGGATCCACTCGACGAAGTAGCTGCTGTTCTTGTTCTGCACGTTCAGCATCTGCTCGTCCACCTCCTTCATGGACATGCGGCCGCGGAAGATGGCGGCCACCGTGAGGTAGCGGCCGTGCCGCGGGTCGCACGCCGCCATCATGTTCTTCGAGTCGAACATCTGCTGGGTGAGCTCGGGCACGGTGAGCGCGCGGTACTGCTGCGAACCGCGGCTGGTGAGCGGCGCGAAGCCCGGCATGAAGAAGTGCAGGCGCGGGAAGGGCACCATGTTGACGGCGAGCTTGCGCAGGTCGGCGTTGAGCTGGCCCGGGAAGCGCAGGCAGGTGGTGACGCCGCTCATGGTGGCCGACACCAGGTGGTTCAGGTCGCCGTACGTGGGCGTCGTGAGCTTGAGGGTGCGGAAGCAGATGTCGTAGAGGGCCTCGTTGTCGATGCAGTACGTCTCGTCCGTGTTCTCCACCAGCTGGTGCACCGACAACGTCGCGTTGTACGGCTCCACCACAGTGTCTGACACCTGCGCGGGGCGGGGGGGGGGAGAGACGGCGTGAGCCGGTGCATCGGTGGGCAAGTGGCTTGGTGTACAAGCGTGGCTGTTGTTGTTGTTCAGGGTGGGGGGGTTAGGCCACCGTTTGTGCCAGCATGTGAAACATCACGGCGCGGTACTTCCACCAGGGCTAGGACTCGCGTGTCCACCATCCTGGGCCGTCTCTGCCTCTCACCGTCGTGTAGGAGAGCACCACCTCACCCTGAAGCGACCACGGTATTTAGTACTTGTATTATGTATAGTACTCGCAGTCTCACCTTGGGAGAGGGCACCACACTGAAGGTGTTCATGATGCGGTCGGGGTTAGAGTACCAGTAACTAAAGCACTCGGTCTCACCTTGGGGGAGGGCACCACACTGAAGGTGTTCATGATGCGGTCGGGGTACTCCTCACGGATCTTGCTGATGAGCAGGGTGCCCATGCCCGAGCCGGTGCCGCCGCCCAGCGAGTGCGTCAGCTGGAAGCCCTGCAGGCAGTCGCAGCTCTCCGCCTCCTTGCGCACCACGTCCAGCACCGAGTCCACCAGCTCGGCGCCTTCCGTGTAGTGGCCCTTGGCCCAGTTGTTACCCGCGCCGCTCTGGCCTGGTGGACGACGAAGCGCAGCAAGGGGTTGAGTCTTTGTTTTAACCACAAGCGAGAGCTCGGACAGTCGTTTCTTTTAAAATAAATTACCCGGGTCAAAAGCACAAACTAAACGGCGTAGCAATTGCACAAAAAAAAATGTCGGCGCACAAACGGCTTCACGTGAAAAATCGAAAATATTATAAAAGTCCATGTTCAATAATAAACTCCCTCAAGCTAAAGTTACTTTGTAGACTGATCACATTACGTAACAGAAACCTGCGAGGGATGGGGACCGTTGAACTCGAGTGTAAAGCAGCAATGGCACAAGAGGATGCCATTCCAAGTTATACCACGAGGCACAGCACACGTCAGCTAACACCAGGCATATAGCACGTTAACACAAGGCGTACACTACACATCCATTATTACCACCAAGTGTGTACCCAGGAAGCCTGCGGCCCTCAGGAGGGTCCTGCCAAGTTGTGACAGTAGGGGGAGTGGGAGGGAGCAATGATTGTACATTCACAGCATGTACACACCACATTTACAAAAACACGGGGCCTGTCCAACGCTGGCTAACAAAGGGCAGCTTCACACGAGCCATTCTCACACCACCCTATACTGATCCTGCGGCTGCAAGCGTTGTCCGGGACTATTAATAATGCACCCCATTCTCACTTTAACAGCGTCAGCTAAACGGACGAGGTCTCTCGCGTCGTTTCAACGAATATTGTAGGCGTCAATGGACAAGGTAATCCGTGTCCAAGATAATCAAGTCCAAATTCCCGCTGCTCAAAATGAACGGCATTGTTGGCGTTCAATTGCTGTCTGCAGCCATGCAAGAGGCCAGTGGTAGAAATACCACTCCTATGACAGAGGCGGCAAGTCTCAACATAGGACAACTGGTGTTGCCTTCATGATCACCTCACACGCACAGTGCTCTCGTTTTACAAAGCGGTGTTTATTGGAGCCAAGGAATGGGCAAGTGGCCATTTCCTTGCCGAGGGCACTAATCAGCACAGCAACATTAAACACAGGACACAGTCCACAAGCTCATAGTACAGATACTCTTCCTCGTCAGCGTCAGAGGTGGCACCACTTTGGCAGTTATAATTTCGTTTAAAAAGGCCAATTAGAGCAAACCATGTGATAATTATTTGAAATGAGCAGGCGTTAAAGCAATTCACTCTTATGTAGCCGTGTGACTAAAAATCGGGCGTTCCGTGGAGGTTGATACTTTTGGCGAGAGCAGTTACTGTTCTGGCCCATGAACTGAGAGTTCATTTCCATGCAGTGTAAATGTCGATTCTCTTCTGGTGACACAGCAGCACCAGTCACCACCCCAGCCGTCGGCACTCACCAAACACAAAGTTGTCGGGCCGGAAGATCTGGCCAAATGGGCCTGACCGCACCGAGTCCATGGTGCCGGGCTCCAGGTCTACGAGGATGGCGCGGGGAACATACTTCCCACCTGCACAGCAGACACAACACACACAAGGCATTAATTGTACACAGGGTTGTACAGGGTTACACATAAATACACACAAAGCACAACACACAGGGTCACTCGTACACGGTTACACAGCACACCGGGCCACTCGTACACGGCACAACAGTATTGTTTACCCACCTCACACCAGGGCATTACCTCACAGGGCGTTGTACTCGCACACCCATCACTCAGCCTTTACATCACCCAGAGAACCTTAAAGACTCAACACCTGTCACAGCCCCCACACGCAGGAACCTGCCGGTCGTGTTCATCTAGACCATGTCACCCATGCCAAGCGAGCCAAGTGGGGAGTGAGCGGATGTAAGTGAATATGCAAGCGAATGTGTAATAGCGAATGGGGTGAGCGAGCCATGGGACAAGAGCGAGTGGTCAAGCGGGTGTGCGACCGAGGGGATGGGCGAGCGGACGCGCGAGTTATTGAGTGCGCCTCGTTACCAGACGCCTCGTTGTAGTAGACGTTGATGCGCTCCAGCTGCAGGTCGCTGTCGCCATGGTAAGAGCCCGTGGGGTCGATCCCATGCTCGTCGCTGATCACCTCCCAGAACTGGAACCAGACGTGCACACGGTTCGTTAACAGGCAACACAAACACGCCTCACACGAGCAGCGCGTAGAAACAATGCGTGCGCACGCTAGACGAGTAGCCGTCGTTATACACGCACGGTGTGTTTACACGTCAGCGGCTGAGTACAAGGTGACGATCTGTTGAGGTATGTGCGGTTTGGCTCGAGTGGTTGTGCAGAGTGCAAGTGAGGGGCGAGCCCTGTTCAGCGAGGGTGAGCGCAAGTATGGGCGTGCACAAGGGCACAGGTGAGTGCGAGGCGAGTGGGTTCTAGGCGTGTGGATGAGCGAGGCGAGCGTGTAGAGGCGAGCGCGTAGGAATGACTGCATGCGCATGGGGCAAGTGAATGCGCGCGACCGCACGAGGTTCGAGTGTGAACGCGCGTGGCAGCCAATTCTCAAGTGGAGAGGAATGCAGCGACGTCAGCTTTGCCATCTCAGCATCTGCCCCTTGCCATCCAATCTCGGCGACCCTCCCCCCCCCCTCAAACAGGCGCATCTCTCAGCGCCATCCGCCAGACTTTAGACGCCACCCCATCTGCTGGCTCGGCCCCGTAAGAGCCAGCTGGGATACACGATCCCCCTCAGCCTCTAAAACGCAGCTGCTCAACGCCGCGCAGCCTCATTAAAAGCTCTCGTGGCCAATCCACTGCTGGATGAATGTCTCCCAAAAAAATTTGACCACCGGCCATGAACAACGTCCGAGTGTAGATGTCCCCTGTCAAGCCCAAATGTATCGCGTTTGAAACGCGTCCTTTTAACCTGGCTGTGGCCGCCTCTCTACACGATCCCAATCGCGCACCTTCATGCGATTTGCTTTTGTTCCATGCGCTTTGTTATAATGGCCACGGTTTCTGACACGTGACCGTTCCTCATCTAGAGTTGACAGTAAGATGCAACTCGCCAATGTACCTATACAGAAAGGTTTAAAGACAATGTGTTAATACCTGCAACGGGAAGTAACTTGCCAACGTGCCTAAAGGTTTTAAATCAATGTGGTACTACCTGCAATGTCATTGACTGCTCACCCCGGACCAAGTAACACGCCCCCCCCCGTGCCAGGCTAGGTAGTCAAACCTCACCGGCTGGATTGGAAATACAAACTCTGGATAGAACCCAACTCTGCTCATTAAACCAAATCAACACGTTGTATTGTTCACCGAATACAACTCCACCTTGTCATCTAAACAAAAATCGTGTTTGTTTCTAACAGCAGCCTAGCCGTGACCATCCAAGAGCAATGTCCCCTGCCAGCTTCGAGAAAGCGCTTTCCATTGCCATGCAGCAAAGTGGCATCATTATTATGCAGGACGGCGGCGTGGCGCTTTCACAGCTCTGGCATCCAGGCTTCGCTTGCGAGCTGTGTGGACACGAGATGGATTGCGAGGCGAGCGAATTGCGCGGGTGGGTGACGTTATAGGTCAGCAAATCTGTATATAGCCGCCGGATGCGAGTGACTCGGCCGTGTGTTGTCAGGGCTTTGTCAGCTGTGGGTGGCGGCTTTGCCGCCGCCAGGACACCGAGTGAGGGGGGTGGGGGGGGTCCATGATGCATTTGGGTGGAACAAAACCAACATCGGTGCACACTCGATTCCAATCCAGGTCGAATCCAACATCCGCGATTCCCACATCCTGCCAATGTAGTGTGGTGGTGGCGAGATTTCACGGCCAGCCCGCAATGCGACACAAAGGATTTGAGGGGGTGGGATAAAACCGTAGAATCGATTCCCAAATGAAAGTGAAAGCTTACAATCGAATTCATGGAATCGCCTGGCTGGGCAGAATCGGTGCGGGCCCTAATCAGGGCGTGACGATTCCACCCCCATTTTGCGATGTGCTTCCCCTGGATTAGTCGATTGAACCAAGCCATCGTTCAAAGGTGGATTTTTTTAGTTCGTTTTATTTCCACATTCAATAAACGGTGAGCGATTGCCACAACATTAACCTAGGCGGACCGCCCAGGCCACGTCCGTGCGACGGGTGAAAATATAAAATGTAAACGTGTAAGGGGGGGGGGGGGCAAAGAGCGCCGAGTGAACGGCGACATCCCCCGAGCGGGGAGACGGACTGCGATGCATCGCGAGATGGCGGCCGGTTGGGGGTGTATAGAGGGGGTGGTTTACGGGTAACAATCTTTAATCCACAGGGGGGGTGGGAGGGTGGCGATTGACCGTACCACATTAATATCACAGAGCAAAACATTTTTTTTCCCGAAACGCGGCCCCGGCATGCTAACGTGGAATTGTAACCACGTGGTCAGCACACCCGACTACCACCCCCTCCCCCCGCCGAGCCTCGGGGATCCGTTAGCGACGTCACGCACGGAAGCGGCGCCCGCCGATTGGACGCAGCCCACACAGGCCCGACCCCCACTTCTTTTGAATTTTGGCGAGCGACGATTGGACGCGGGCGGTTTGAATCCCCAAAGTCGAGCCGCGATTGGACGAGCGACGCAAGGGGTGGGGGGAGAGGGGCGGGGCAACGACCGCCCCACGGCAACGGTCGCGGCCGAGCGCGGGAAACGGCGGCCCCCACCCCCCCGAGCCCCCACCCCACCCCCCCTGAGCCCCCACCCCCGAGTGGCCACCATTTTACATTTCGCCCACTCCGCCTCACGCGCACACGGGGCGGGAATAAACGTTGAAAAAGGCGCAAACCACACGCACGTTTAATCCATCGCAAACTAAAGAAACACGCTATTTAAAAAATCAAACGTGACGTTTTTAACATCAAACGTGACGTTTTTAATAATAGTTTGTTTCTCGTTCACGCGTACGGGCGGACCCCCCCCCCCCCACGAAGAGTTGCTAACGGCTGCGGGCGAAATTAACAAACGCTGCGTCATCCGAATTTTTTCTTATTAAAAAGCATTGAAAAATCAATTTTACAGGTAAAGTGCTTTAGCGTAAGAGGCAGAAATCATCGTCCGCATCAATCCACTGCTGGATGAAGGCATTCCCGCCCGCCTTCAGATTCCTTGCCCGCACGGCTAACATTAGCGGCGATTTTGTGTTGCCACAATGCGTCCCTGGGACAACCAAACCCTTTCGAACCGCTACGATTTAATTTTGACAAAAGACAATGGATTTCTGAGGGGTGTTAAATATTTGATTGCAATCTGTTGCGTACGCGAGATGGCGGGAAATGGCGGCGAAGCGCTCACCCGGCAGCGCACCGACCGCGGTTACGAGTTAATAAAAAAAATCCCAATAAAAGATAGAAGTTGCCATCTTAGCCTCAAAATCTCTTAAACTACTCCCTAAATTATGGGATTTTAAAAAAAATAACCATGCAGGCGTGGTGGGTCTTATTAAAATCGGCATTTGGTGGCGCGATCCCATGTGCATTAAATGTATAACCGACGTACAGCACAAACATTTCCTTGGGGCGCGTCTTACTTTCTCTCCAGAGCGCCTCATAATTACCATTCATACGGTCGATGCCCAAAGTCCAAATGTCGCGGGCAAGATCCGGGTTCGTTCAACACGCAGCCACGTAAACCACCGGGGCCCCTCGCGACATTAAAGCCGAACATTTCTCAAGACAAATATCACGGACGGGGGAGGAGGGGGCGCGTCTTCCTCACCTTGGCGCCGATCTGATTGCCGCACTGGCCCGCCTGCAGATGAACTATTTCCCTCATGGTGAAGTATGTAAATGTGTTTTGACTGTCACGTTACGTTGACCAAAAAACCCCCTCTGGTGAAGTCTTCTACGGCTGTCTGGTCCCCGGCTCCAACTGTCACCAACGGCTCCGCCGCGCCCTTATATACCCGCGGCGGGCGTGGAGGGCGGGGGGGCGGGGGCGAGCGAGAAGGGGGCGGTCGCGTTCGAATTGACCAACCGCGGCGCGAGCGCGAGACGCCGCGGCGGATTGCGATTGGTCGAGAACGCTTTGAACACGCCCCTCCCACCTCTCCTAACCCCCTCCAGCCTCCCGTCGCTGGGCCACGCTGTTGTGCAACGAACCCCCATCACCAATCTCGATCACCACCAAGTTGCTCGTTCAAACAAAGATGGCCAAACAGTGGCGAGTCTCGGCGGCCCCTAGTGGCTGGGGAACGGCGGGCGGCGTCACGCGACATCGCCTAGCTGGCCTAGCACATACATCTATGCCGCCCTCTATTGTACCCCTTCGTTACACTCGCTTATAAGCCCGTCGAGGCAACGGGTGTATTGCTAAGGGGCCGTCCATAAATGACGTCACGCACCTATGGGGTTGGGCTGGGATCAGACATTTGTGACGAGGGGGGGGGGGCGATTTAAAGCTTTCGTGACTGCAGGGATTCATATTCTTTCGGTAAAGTCACGTAGAAGAGAAATAATAAAATAATAAAAGTTAAACTTACATTCTCATGACGTTTCGATTGCAACACAAGCAACCATCATCAGGTGTGAAAACCACAGCAAGGGGGGGGGTTATAAATGTGACGTCACATCAAAATGTGCAACTTTAAATAAATATAGACAACACGTTCTACTTAATTAAATAGACTTTTTGATAAATGTTCTCTCCGACAACATCAGAGTGCAGTGCCACATTAAATACGCACTACAATGACAATAGTTTAAAGCGATTTGGTTTTTTTGGGGGGGGGGCAGAGCTTTGTGACGTCATATTTGAGGGGGGGTCTGACTTTTTGTGACGTCGTGTGACGAGGGGGGGGGGTAAAAAAATCGTCCAAAATCGCGTGACGTCATTTATGGACGGCCCCAAAGTACATCTGAAATGTTCAATCGAAAATCATATTCCGCTCATGATTATTAATGAGATGGGGGGGGGGCATGTGGAGTGACATCACCTGCTAATGATGATTAATCATGTGGGTGGTGCTCCATGTGGAGTGATTATGAATGATAGCGTTACGGAGTTCTGGCTTTTAATCGATTAAGAATGATTATTTCTTAAAAATGGGGAGCGGTAGTGTAGCGGTTCAGAATACAGTATTTATCTACACTGGGGGAATCCGATGAGCTATGAAGCTCTTTTTTTCACAAATGCCCAATAGTTTTTGCACAGATGTCCAGTTGGCCTTCCCCAAGGTTGACTCAGCCTACAAAATGAGTTTAACCTGATGTTTGATTTGAAGCTTTTGTGACTGCAGGAATCCATACTTCCAGGGAGACAAAGGCGGCCGGGCGTGGTGTTGACAACCCACCCCCACCTCGTGTGCCGTTCCGGTCTTCAAAAGGTGCTACTCGCTCACAGCACTTGACCCAAAAGTCCGTTAAGGCTATCCGGGGGATTTGTGCCTTTGTTTGTTATTGGGCTTCCTCAGAATGGACTCCCAAGTTGGAATCACCTGTTTGAGAGAAGAAAAACAGACATTAAAACAGATAAGACAAAATAGTATTATAAATAACAAGTCTCGTTCACGGCTGGTATTCATTTGGTGGGCCGGGTCGATCCGTGACTTAAATGTGCGTGGATTGCTCCACAGCTGCAATGCCACGGCCCCTATCTCAGAGCGAAAGAGGAATAATAATAAAACTTCACCGGTTTGTATTCTTGGTTCTTTCGGGAAAGTCACGTAGAAGGGAAACCATAAAATAATAAAAATATGAAACAAAATCCTCACGACGTTTCGACTGCAACACAAGCAGTCATCAACAGGTGTGTGAAAACCACACACCTGAAAACCACACACCTGATTATGACTGCTTGTGTTGCAGTCGAAACGTCGTGAGAATTTGATTGTTTTATCATCAGGTGTGTGAAAACCACACACCTGATGATGACTGCTTGTGTTACAGTCGAAACGTCGTGAGAATTTGATTGTTTTATCATCAGGTGTGTGAAAACCACACACCTGATGATGACTGCTTGTGTTACAGTCGAAACGTCGTGAGAATTGTATTGTTTTATATTTTTATTATTTTATAGTTTCCCTTCTACGTGACTTTACCGAAAGAACCAAGAATATGAATCCCTGCAGTCACGAAAGCTTTAAATCAACATTTCACCGGTTTGCTTCACCATTATGACTTTATCGCCTGATTGAAGCAGCTGCTGCTGCTGGTGGTGGTTGTTGCTGTGATCACCTGCAGCTACTAGAATTGTACAATGTCGTTGTGGGCCCACTCACCGTGCGACACACGATCGGCAAGGTGTACTGAGCGAGTCACTAAACCGGCACGTGGAGAATTGGCTGAGTCGGGTGGTGGCGGGCTTCGCGACGCATTCATATTGGACGCGATCTGAGCCAAGGGAAAATAAAACTCTGGATGATATTGGTCGAGAAAGCCCACCCCCCCCCCCCAATAAAAAAACGTTGCTATGGATACCTTGCGTTTGTTCATCATGTGACAACCTTTACAAATCAGAATCTTTATTTACACTGCAGGAGAAATCAGATGAGCTTCAAAGTTATTTCTTCACCGTTGTCCGGTCGGGGCACGGGGTAAGAACGTTTCGACAACAAACAGCTACAACAAACACGATAGCAGTGCAAACTACGCGCAAGGTAAACAAATCGCCCAAACACAAACAAATACAACACTAAACCATTCCCATCATATACCAGGGAAAGCCCGCTGAACATATGAACTTATTTTTCAGAAGCGACCTGGCCACCATCAAATGATAGCCCAACAAAGTGGCCCATTTATAGCAGCCAAAATAATCTAAATAATCTCAACGCATGTTTCTATAAGTTCCACACGACCACGGGGAGAGACACACAAACTCCAAATATACAGCAGGTATCAGGTTGGGATCGAACCCACGACCTCCTGTAGACCAGGCGAGGTAGTAAACATCTCAAAACAGGGAGAGAGACACCGCAAACTCCAAATATACAGCAGGTATCAGGTTGGGATCGAACCCACGCCCTCCTGTATACCAGGCGAGGTAGTAAACATCTCAAAACAGGGAGAGAGACACCGCAAACTCCAAATATACAGCAGGTATCAGGTTGGGATGGAACCCACGACCTCCTGTAAACCAGGCGAGGTCGTTAACATCTCAAAACAGGGAGAGAGACGCCGCAAACTCCAAATATACAGCAGGTATCAGGTTGGGATGGAACCCACGACCTCCTGTAGACCAGGTGAGGTCGTTAACATCTCAAAACAGGGAGAGAGACACCGCAAACTCCAAATATACAGCAGGTATCAGGTTGGGATCGAACCCACGACCTCCTGTAGACCAGGCGAGGTCGTTAACATCTCAAAACAGGGAGAGAGACGCCGCAAACTCCAAATATACAGCAGCTATCAGGTTGGGATCGAACCCACGACCTCCTGTAGACCAGGCGAGGTCGTTAACATCTCAAAACAGGGAGAGAGACGCCGCAAACTCCAAATATACAGCAGGTATCAGGTTGGAATCGAACCCACGACCTCCTGTATACCAGGCGAGGTAGTAAACATCTCCGAGCCACTGCGAGCTCGTGAAACAGCCATCGCCTCGCTGCGGTGAAGGCGAATACCGCCCGGACGTGGGGGTAGTTTGTGCCTGGTGGTGTGTGGCCAGGGTCTGGGGGGGCCCTGACCTTCAAGGGCATTGTCACTGCACTCTGCCTGCTGCTCGTGGAGACTTCGCAGTTGCCACGGAATGCGTTGCTACGCCCGTGCCCGTCCACGTGGTTTTTTTCTGTGCGCTTGGACACGGCACACAACGTCAAACAAATACAAAGTAGCTTCCTGCTCCTTGGCGAGCCTCTGCAGACTTTTGGCGGTGGGGGAAAGTTTCTGAAGGCCGGCACGGCACACGAGGGGGCTGGCTGGGTGGGTGGGGGGGTCACCCTTTGTCTCCCTGGTGGCGATGTTGACACACCGCACCGGCTATTCGTTTGAGGCTGAGTCGACCTAGGGGAGGCCCATGATCCTGTTTACCGTGAGCGGGATATCGAACTCGGGTGTCCGGGTTCCTAGCGCAATGCTAACCACTGTCCCACCGCTCCACACGCACGCACAAAGACAACGAACCCCCGTGTAGCCTCAGCAGACTATCGGGGCAAGTGCTGTTAGCGAGCAGCACCTATGAAGGCCGGCACGGCAGACGAGTGGGGGTGTGGGTGGCCAGCACCACGCACGGCCGCCTTTGTCTCCCCCAGTGGCGATGTTCACTACACCACCGCACCGGGCACTTGTTTGAGGCCGAGTCGACCTAGGGGGAGGCGCCGGAGCGGTTCAGAGAATCGTCACGTGGTGTTGCCCGCTAGCTGGAATTGAACCTGGCTCTCTGCCGCGTTCGTAACCAATGCACCACCGCTCCCCACATTCACCCTAACAAAGACAAAGGTCCCCCGTGTAGCCTGTGACGGGCTGTCCGAGGGCAAGTGCTGTGAGCGAGTAGCAGCACCGACGAAGGGGGGCAGCAGCAGCAGCCAGGCTGGTGTGCCAGGCTAGGTGCAGGAGGTCACGAGGAAGCGGAGACCCACTTATCATGGGGTGACTGGTGTGCCAGGCTAGGTGCAGGAGGTCACGGGTACGGAGACCCACTTATCATGGGGTGACTGGTGTGCCAGGCTAGGTGCAGGAGGTCACGGGAGCGGAGACCCAGTTATCATGGGTTGACTGGTGTGCCAGGCTAGGTGCAGGAGGTCACGGGTACGGAGACCCACTTATCATGGGGTGACTGGTGTGCCAGGCTAGGTGCAGGAGGTCACGGGTACGGAGACCCACTTATCATGGGGTGACTGGTGTGCCAGGCTAGGTGCAGGAGGTCACGGGAGCGGAGACCCAGTTATCATGGGTTGACTGGTGTGCCAGGCTAGGTGCAGGAGGTCACGGGTACGGAGACCCACTTATCATGGGGTGA